ACAAGAAAAACTACTTCAGTGTAAAGAATATGAAGCTAAAATAGAAGGAATAACCAACGAAAAGGAGCAGTTAGCGATTAAACTTCGTAAAGCTAAGCAAATGTTTAGTTCTCTCAAGGAGGAATTGCAGCTACATAAAGCTAAAGCTGAAGAATTTAAAAATAAGAATAGCAATTTACAAATGAAGATAGATGAATTAGAAAATGGCCGTGCTCATCTAACCGAAACTCAGGATAAACAAATAGAAATGTTCCAAATAGAAAAGGGTCAATTTGATAGCATGATGAAAGAAAAAGACAGTTTATTAGAAAAAACGTCTACAGAACGAGATGCGATTGCTAATGATTTAGTAGAGAGAAATGCTGAGAATACCAATTTAAAAGATATAATATGTGAGATAAAAGAAGAACAAGCCAATATGACCAAATTAATGCAATTAAAGGATGCTGAATTACAGGCTGTACACACAGATTATGACAGCGTTGTGTCCGAAATACAATTACTTAAAGCCAAACACGATAGCAATTTAGAGGAATATCGTAATGAAGTTGAAAATTATAAAGAAGAAATCATTAAATTGAATGAAGTAGTTAATGGAAGAGATCTGGTTATTGAAGAGTTGAAATTGGAACTAAGTGCTAAGGTAGACGACATTCAAAATTTGTCAATGACGTATCATATGTTGGGAAAAGATTATGATGAAATACGGTCTAAGTATGATAGCGAGATGGCAGCGCTGCGTAAAAATCACAATAACACTCTATTAGAGTTGGAAGAATGTCGTACCGACTTGCAAAGACTGCAAGATCAGTCATCTAGTTACTCCGACAAATTAATTTCTTATGAGCAACAAGTTGAAAAAGGACTGAAGGATCAAGAATCATTAGCAGTAGAGATTGAAGATAAGCGGGCTAAATTGTGTCAGTTAAATGAAATACAGGAGGAAAATAATTACTTAGGTAACGAGAATAAACGACTATCCTCAAGACTGAATACTGCTAAGCAAAAATTTATTGCATTATCAACTGATTTAAAAGAATGTAAAAAAGAAATTCAACACCTTCGGTCCCAAAATGAAGGATTAGCCGCTCAACTTTCTTCCACTAAAGAGACGGACGCATCACTTACTGAAGCAAGAGCTGTTCTAGAAAGCTGGTATGAGTCACGAAAGTCGAAATCAGAGTACACCAATGATATTCACAATCCAGCTATGCAAGATTGTATGTTAGAACGGGAATTAATTCAGACAACTTCGGATAGTAACCAATTGACAAAGAAGGATGATGAATGTTACGATCATATCAGTGAAGCAAAAGCTGAAATTACAGCAAATGAGAAAAGTTTGTTACCTAAACTTCAGGTACTTGTTGAATCCAATAACGAATTGCTACAAGAATTGAATTCTATTCGTAAAGATAGAGATAAATACCAAAAGGAGATGTCTGACTCGAAGAATTCGTACCAAAATCTAAAAAAGGATGTTGATGAATCCGAAAAACGTTTTAAGTTGCAATATACGGAACTTGATAATCGCTATAATGAATGCCAGGATAAAATGAAGAAGTTAGAAAATAACTATCGAAGCTTAAGTGCCAGATATGATAGTGTAGTCGACGAGCTTTCTATAAAAGATAATAAAATTAATAATCTAGAGGATCAAATAAGTAATTATCGAGACTTATCGGAGACATTAAAATCGGAGGTTGACGGTAAGAATTCTGAGATTAGCAAAATAGGAGTTTCCAATGATAAGTATTACAAAGAAAATAAAACACTCACGGATGAGCTAGTACAGCAAAGGTGCGATCTAGAGGTACTAAATGCCAGCTGTGAACGAATTTTGGAAGAGAATTCCAGATTATTAAGTCAATTACAAGACGAACAATCTAAGTATTCGCTATTAGAGAATTCTTTTGAAACTGTTCAACAAGAAAATGCCTTTCATGTTGATGAAAAATCAAGAATTCTTTTAGAAAGAGATGAATATATGGTTAAAATTAATGATTACTTGTCAGAAAACAAGTTATTACAAAAGGAAGTAGAGAATTTGCATAATCAGTTTCAAGAGCTTAACGAAAATCTCCGTCAGAATGTTATGGAAAGGGAAGAAATGATAACACAGCTACATCAGAAAGCTGCTGTTGAGTCCGGACTACGTAGGGAAATTTCATCTCTAAAGTTCTTACTAGAGCAGGAAAACTCTAATAATGTTTCACATATAGATCGATATGATGTATTGCAGAATGATTATCAACTTGTATTAGAAGAACGAGACCACTTACAGCAGCAGGTTAATACGGTTATGGCTCATATTGAGAGTAACCAAGAAATTGGTAAAGATCAACATCGTAGTAATTTGGCTTCATTGAATCAATCAAACGAAGACCTCAAGAAGCAGCTAGTTGACGCTGAAGAGATTTGCAAGCAGAAAATTGACGAATGCGATCGTATGCAAGGAATTGTTGATTATCAAAATGAAAGAATTGAAGGATTAGTAGCTGAGATTGAGGTAAGTATTTGCCATTTTTAGGTGCTGTAGATATAGATCTTTAATTCTAGTTCGATTTAAATCTTTATCTAGGCTCTATCGTTATTAAAGAATTATGAAAGTGCTAAAAGTCAACAGAAGTTAAGGTAGAGTTCTTCATTAAACTTTCAACATAATTTTGTTATTAATGAATTAAATATGCTCTTTTTGGTAACTTGAATGGAAGCAGCGAGCCTGATAACTCTATTATGATTAATGAAGCTATTATAACTTCAAAAAGTGTTGTAAGTTAAAATAATATTTGTTTTTCCTATATTAATATACTGTTATACTTTAGCTTCCTACAAACTGATTGTTATTTGAAATTTCTGTAAACGTTAGGAAGGATCCTTGAGCCCGTTAGACAGTGGAGAGCCAAGAAACTCTGCTGCTAAAGGTTCGTTCTTTAAGTGTTACTTGACTAGCCTCTTCACATGTAAGGTGACTTAGTAACAAGAAATGTCCTAATGCGATAGTCTATTAAAATTTCTATACTTTTTCTCTAACAGATATAATTGATGGTCAAGTTAAACTATTACCAGATGCGTCAATAGTAAATGAAAGGTAGAACATTCTATCGTACCATGGCATATGCCTTGCTTAACTTGTTGTGATTCAGTCGCTGATTCCCTTTGAATTGCACTATACTTGCATAGGCTTCAGTATACAGAAATGCAGAATGATCTGCTAAGGAAGATGGATGAACTACAAGTAATAAGCTCCATTCTAAAAATTAATTAAGGTGTATGTGCTATATTCTTTAATCTATCAAATTATTTTAGGAACGTTTACAGATGGAACAAGATAGAAGGATAAATGCTGAAGAATCACTTCAGAAAACTAAGGATGAGCTGGCTGTTTATGTTACGCCTTCATTTGAGAATCGAGAGGTGAGCGCTCTCGGAACAAAGTTTTAAATGCGATGTTTCCGCGTTGATTTATACCGCTCAATATCAAAATTTGATAATTCAATTTTACGAGGTAATAAACCAGAAATTTTATGAAATTTTATAGGTATTTATTAACATGGATGAAGAAGATGACAATGAAATGGAAATCATTGACTCACCTGAAGCAAGCCTATGTATGCTTTTGTTTTGGTTTTCTTTTGTAGATTATGATCATGCAATTAAGATTTTTAGTCCTAAGCAATTCTTGCTTTTAATGTCAGTGCAAAAAGTTACGAAACAAATGAAATATAACTCTTGGCCACGATTGAAACGGTAACTATTGCATTAATATTATGCACATGTTGATTTTTTTAAGCCTTTAAATATGCTAGAAAATTGTAATTGACTTTGCGAATTTTGCTTTAATCGCTTTAGTAATATCCGACGGCAATTGCGGCACTTACCAACGAATAGAATCTGGGTTGTTATTTATTTTGCTTTATTGCATGTTGCATTAATATCACTATTCGTTACGCGCAGCTTCTAAATTGGCATTGTAAAGAAGTAACGCCTTTGGATTAAAGTTACTCCAGAATTGTCTAGATGGTGTAAAAAATTTAGTGGATCTGATTTGTATTGTCGAAATTTTAATAACTAGTTAACTGGGTATAACATTTACTGTATCATAATTGTATAGTTATTTTAAAATGGTGGTAGCTCGTTAAAGCAATACCGTGATATTTAGTTATTCAAATTTTACAAATTGTGAATATTTCTTCCAGTGTATGAAAATTTTAGTAGAGAATGCGGGACACGTTGTATGTGAATTTTATACAAAGTGTTGTGCTGTAAGTATAAAAATCTTGAATGTATTATCATGCAATCTAAAAATTTAGTTTCAGACTTTTATTGCTATATCTTTCTAATAATGTTGTATGTTATTCAAAGGTAAAGTTATTATATAATGGTAAATGTTGTGCATTCGAGATATCCTAAATACAATGGTCGCACTTCAATGAAAAATATTACTTACATTTATTATTACAGAGTATATCAAGAGGTATTAAAATACATTGTAATCGATTATTGCTCTATTATTATCTATTTTATCATATTTATCTAGATATATTATATCAACTGAGTCCATAGACTACGTTATCGATTGAATTGTAATTAGAAATTAACAAATAAAGCTCATTTTAATAAATCTTTGATAGTCGTCCACAAACAAGACGTAGATGATCGTAACTAGGAAGTAAATCCAGATACAGATACAGTTAAACATTTATCTCGCAACTTGTTACCCAGCTTTATCTATTTCTGATTAGCGCATAACCTGTATCTAGAATTCTTTTATTGATATTTCTTCGAATGAAAAGAAAAATATTATACATAATTACAAACAGTAAAATCAGGAAAAGTACTACTGTCCAAACTGTCAGGATATCTACGTTGTTCTTATTTTCAGAGCCGTTAGAATTTTCATATTTAATGTGATCTATTACGGAATGAACAAAATTATTCGTCAATCGTTTTTACCTGGTCATTGATTCTAATACTATCTCATATATTATAGGTAAGTATTAATTACCAAGTTTAAACAATGGACCAACTGAAACGATACTAGAGAAAACTTTTTCATCTTGACCAAGTTCCCGTCTAATACGGTTTCCGGAAGTTACTGTTCTTTGACAACCTTGAGCACAACGACTTAGGTTATCATGCAGAGGACAAACCATAAGTTGGCAATGTATGAATATGAAAGGTTGATTAAATAAGAATGAAAATGCCTTGATGCTAAACCGAACAGTTTTAGAGATTTTTGAATAATGCTTCTTAATAGTCTTATCTTCATTACACCTAAATAGATCCAGTGAGACTATATTTAAGATTGTACGCTTGAATACAGGGTACTACAAATGTATTTAGTCTTTACGAGTATAGTGAAAATTTTACCCGTTTCTGATAATCCAGTAGTGAATAGGATCGCTTATATTCGTATCAGGTGTAGCTAAGCAATTCTCGACAGCTACTCGCAAATTCGCATCACCAGCGTGTACACCAAATTCGAGATATGCTCGTTGATTTAATTTCAATGGCAGTGGATACGCACTAGGCGGGAACGCATTAAAATATCTTGCTGTTGGATAAATTTTAGCAAAATAGGAAAAATTGCCATATCCTTTATGCCAATTATGGGATATTAGAGGCTTATTATCAGGATTATAAGCAATTCCTATCCAACCTTGATTAGAATAGGAGCATAGGAAAGCTAACCGTAATATTTTTTTCCGAGTGATGAGACCAGATGGGTGATCAGGTCGATTTCGAAGTCGATTCTTGTAAATGATAGAATTGGAATAATGTTTAATTATTGTGCCACAGCTGTGTAAAGGCTGAATCGTGATTAGGAAATGAGTCCCGTTGAGGGTTGGAGAGCATGAAGGATCTATAAGCTGGATGTCTCGTCTATCGATATCGGGCAATGATGACCGTGGAATTACTACCTTGATATAGTCATGGTTGCATTCAATTCTTAGCTTGGGTTTAAAATTGGCTAGAAGTTATTAAATTTAAAAATAAGGCAATACGTATTGATTTAATCAAAAGAGAAATTCATTTGTTAGAAATATAGGTAAATAAGGCTTTAAAATGCTATTATAAATAATCATAAAACAAGGATAATAGCTGCTCATAAAAACTATCAAATTATAAGCAATTTTATTTTACCTATCTGAGTCTGATTAATGCAAGTTCTTTTGTCGCTACCGAGTGTTAAGTTGCTAGGACAATAACACAGAAATGATCCATGTATATTATGACAATTGTGACTGCAAATATTACGATCAGATTTGCATTCATCTATATCAAGGCATTGGTTAGCATTTATCGAGTATCCTTTGGGACAGCTGCACTTATAAGATCCATAAGTATTTAGGCATAGAAATTCACAAACATCATCATAATCGCATTCATTGATGTCTTCACATTGCTTATCATCGCTAGCCAATCTTAACCCCTTTGGGCAGCTGCAGTAGTAGGAACTTTGTGTGGTTAGACAAATATGACTGCAACCGCCGTTACTATTACTGCATCGATCAATATCTATAAAAGACATTACATATTTTACTGCGTTAGCAACCTATAACAAATCATTATATACCACATAAACACAGCGTTCTACTTCGGTAAAGAAATAAAACCTTGTGGAGGAATAGCGCTAACCTTTCCATTTACAAGGAGGAATTGGGCAATAATCCCAACTGTTATTATACCTGCTGATAGCATTGCTATAATAACACCAAGGTCCTCCATCCTTGAGATCAGGATTTCGACAATAGTTGTGATCGAAGTTGTAGTAGGAAACTTGACTCCAAGATTGACATCTAGCTCCAGTCTTGGTAAAATTGACGTTGCCATTGTAATTTCGTCCTAAGGTTTCTTTATCATAGCAAGAATCATCGCCTATAGCTTGCTGCAAGATGACTAAAGGAATTAGGCCATATAGTAAATTTGTGCAAGATAGTAGCGCTACGAATCTACTAATACTTAGAATGGAAAACATTTTGCAAAGTATTCAATATCAAGCAAATTTCAACCGATATTAAATCACGGGTTCACAGCTCATCAGAGCCGTGAGTATTTATACCTTATCTATCCTTACTTTTTACTAATGCTAGTAACCAACAATTGCTATTTTTGCACCTACACATTCGTATTAACAGAGATATTACCAATGCACGAAGAATTCCTATTGCATTTGCTCCAACTCTCGACTGCTACGTCAATATAACAACTTGTTCGCACCATATATTTACTGTAGAAATACTCAGCAGCAAGAATCGATCATAATAAACTTAATCGTTAAAATTTATAGTATTTAATCATACGTAATTTGTCCTGATCGTAAGTTATCATGATATTTGATGAAATTGTTTGCTAGTAAACTATCATGCGGCCTGCACCGTCATTTATACTACAAACAGAAAGGGCGGTATGCACCTTTAACGCCACATCAAATGAATTAAGATTCACTTTTTCAACTATAAACGGATCAAGATAGTAACTGATTATGCACAACAGTATTACTGTTGGAAAACTTTTATACTGTAAGTAACTTTCTTAATTCTATTCGAATAGCTATGAAAGTGACAGTATATGATATATTAGTATTGATAGCTAAGCTTGACACCTATCGCCGATTTGCTATATCATCAACATGCAGTCAATGTTTAAATGATGAAAATTTGAAGCGTCTTGACCTAATTGCTGCATGGTACACCAGCGCTTTAATCAACTTAGCAATCAATTTTAACGGTAGCAGCTTTACACTAGAATACTAATACGTAACAAGTTGTATGCTACCCTATACGTAGACGAGTAAATCCCACGCTAGAGAAACTCTACTACAGGATCTAACAATCACAGGAAAATGCACCCTAGATTACCATAAAATTCTTTTATTTTAGTGCTTAGTCTCACTGCCTGTACATATATATTTCCAACAATGACGATGTTTCAATCAAGGTAGAGAGATACGCATTGCATACTGCAGTACACAGTGCAAAAGGATTAGCTACCCATCTAATATAAGCGATAGGATTTACCCATCGAACTTTTAATATACAATGCGCGAACGTTTTGCCAATTTTTCTTCAATAATGATACCAAAAAGTTAACGGCTAAATGGATATTGGCAGCCAATTCATCTTCCGACATACTAACATTACCAATGGCAACACCAAGACATAACACTTTTTTCATTTGGAACTTGATAGTACATTTGACATCTTCAATCTTGGCATTCATGTTATCGTTGTGAGTCAACATGGTAGGAAATTTACCAATCTTGTTTAATTGAGGTCCCATGATACGAGGTATTTGTTTGATTAAACTCTCAGAAGCAATAAATGCATCGTATTTTTTAGCCAATTTTTTAATCAATTTTCTGTTCTTATTCAATTTTTTCAAAGCGTCGACATCCATCGATGGTACATTATTTGACTTAGCTTCATCACAATGGTGAGCATCGCCAAAGACACATACTTTTTGATTTGGCCGAGGCGTATGTCTCAATCTAAAGAAGATTAAAGGTAACATTGCATCAGATCGATGATTCTTAAAATTGAAAAATGAGCTTTGCCACATTTACGTAAGAATACTGCCTTTAGAAAGAATAAAAGTACTGTACAGTAATACATGTTTCTCTGACGAAATTAAGAATCTAATTATGCCTTGCACAATTATAGCACACATGGATCGTAAACCATGATGGCGTCAATTCCTAACTCCTTCAAGATTGAGACTAAGATTTGCAAAGACAGACGAGTAATGCCAACCATCATGATTGATAGGAAGTATCAAATGTATTGCGTTTATTGTGTTCAATACAATCATCGATTCTGTTCGACAACGGATTATCGTAGCCTGTAGTTTATCTATATAGATTGGTCGCAGAAAACTGGACAAACTACTAGGATTTCATGGCTTCAACTTAAATTACAATGACAACGTGGAAATGTCTTCCATTCGAGTACATTCACTTAGGATAAAGATTGACGAGTATTAAATTGCAAGTGACATCACATGCTGCTACTCTACATGTATATATCAAGACTATTATTTTAGTTTCTAGTTTAAGCACTGTCCTCATCAAACTGCTCTTGTGTTCATAAACTAATCGATATTGGACCAGAAGGATTCCATAGGCTATACTCGAATATACAACATGGAACGCATGGATAAAAAACAAAAACTGATCGATAGGATGATAGTCAAGTAACGTATGACCAATTTGATTGGTCACGATGATCGACTTGTACCGTTATTTTGTGCAAGATCGAGGCGATCAACAACTGTTAAGTAATTTACGATACATACTTGACAGTACCGCTAAAACGCTTGTCCTTTTGTGGATCGTAGTTCTTCAAGGCAACTTGTAATTCCACCGTTTCCAAGAAATTTCTTTTCTTATCTTGTGAGCCCTGAAGGACATCACGAACACAGTCGTACAACGTATCGCGCGAAATTTTACTACAGGAAACATCAAGGCCAATAGAACATTAGTCAAGAAAAATAGGACACATAGATAAGTTTATTCTGCAGTTGATGTCTATCTTATGGATAACAACATGTTGTAACTTGCAAGAGTAAGTGAAAAAATTGATCCATCTACCCAGCTATTGGATCAAGAAACCCATGATCTACTGTACAGTATAGTAATATATGAGCTAGCAGTCTAACACCCTTAATGGAATGCAGCAATGCCAACTACAATCACATCCAAAATCAACTTAAATCGATCTGATGACAGAAAAAATGGATTTTAAGCCAAGATGAACCAATAATTGCTTCAAAATTAGGCTTAAACTATTTAATTTCATTAGGATGAAGGAGATGAAGGAAAGATTTCTTACCTCATGTTGCCACACGGTCGCCAAAACGACGGAGAAGAAAGAAGGGAACGACAGTCGTGGTACAGCAAGTCAAGTACCTTGCCGAAAGTCAATGACTCAGTATCGAAGGGAGTGAAATACGCACGCGTGGATTGGACCTTTTATTATACTGTATTAACTAGGGATAGGTCAGTAAATGTAGCGATAGCTATACTGTACAGTGTACAGTATAGTAGTTCCAGTAGTGTTCAGTACAGTACAGTGTAAACTGTATAGTACTGTACTCTTTCACAGTAGTCCCTTGTACTGTACAGTGTACAGTACTGTAAAAATGGTACCGGATAGTACAGTACAGTAGTACTGTACACGTACACTCGCATTCCTGTACTGTACTGAGTGTACACTGTACACTGTACAGTCCTGTCACGTGTGTGTGCTACAGAAAGAATGACAGAAGGACCATCCACGATTTTCTTTAGCCGAAAATATGGAGGCTGACTATTTCTCTGGTCATTTTAACTGGTGTGTCCATTTCAAACCGTACACTGTACTGCTTTCACTACCATGCAGTTCCATGCTTTGGGTTTAGAACTTCAGCTCGGATTGGTGGCGGACTGATCAGTCGTTTACTGTTCCTGAAAACCTCTTCGTAGAAGAAGAGATGCACTACACAAGTACTCGCACAGCATTCAAGCTTCTACTAGGAAGAATTTTTCAGGAATAGATATAGTAAACCAATGATCAGTCCGGCACTCGTACAGTAGCTGCCTAATCAGACTTGAAGTTCTAAACCAGTGTCGGGAGGGTCGGCCATTTTTACTTACTTAACGAATAACCATGACACAGCTGTCATGTGACTCTGCTGCGATGCTCGTAACTGCACCTGCGCCACTTTTCAGGCGGTCAAACGATCGTCCGTCCCATCCTAGGCCAGGATGCACATTGTGAGCCACCGTATTTCTCAGGTCTAATTGCAACTCTTGGCAAATTAGTTCCCCGGGTACCCCGTTTCATCCCATCAACTTTAAATTGAGCTCCAATAACACGCAGACAGATCAGTACAACGTTGAGCAATTGGCTGTTGATGTTTTTATTGCAGTATTGAGTAACTTGATTTCTTTGAAATTTCGAATACAAACTATTAGTCAGTGGTAGATGAAAGAGTTGTAGGTTATTCGCTTTTGCAAGTACGACTCCCGCTGTACCATACAATTTTGTTTCGTATGGCGATTGTATACGTTTACTACTAGCAGACATCAAGGGTTTGCTACACTATACTAAGAAAATTTCACAACTCTTGACACATTTAAATCTTTCAAAATAAACATGCTTAATGAACATACTATAGTCTAATTTGAATAAAGTAACTTGAAGCACATTTGATAGATAGTCAACTAATATTATTATATATATATTCAAAAGTTTTGAAATATACCGTACTGGAATAATGAATCATTGATATTTTCAAAACTTACTGTAAACCGTAAAGTATTCTGTAGATAGAGAAATCAATCTTGAAACCTTTTTAACTACTAATTCAAAGTATTCATCAACATCATTGGAGACTGCCAAAGCGGAAGAAATTTCCATCATGGAACAGACATTAGGAACCATTGCTCAGGCTATTGGAAGTAAAGCAGTACAACAAAGCCTTGATTCACATCGAAATAAAGTCAAAATTTATCTCATTACACAAAACTCGAATAGAAATCAATTACACTCTGCTATCACTAAATTATGCGGTCAACAAATCAAGGCATTATCAACTCAACAAGTATTAATAAGAGTAGGTAAATCACAATTCTACACAGCAAAAAATCAAACTCAAGCACAAGCTTATACTCAAGAATTACAACATTCAATTAATTCTCGGTTACTTATCAATAGACATCGATTACAATCTATTTTATCTAGCAACGATGATCAACATAGCCCAAGAACAAGTCCTGCCAGAGAATTACTAGAAATGTGGGATCAAAATCCCGAAACAAGACCAGAAGGTCATGTATATTATCATGGATTTTATCCGCCTAAATTAATTACTGATCCACATCCTGATCAATTACCTGATAAATGTAGAGCGTTGTTTCTATTTGCAAAAAACCTTCCCAATAGTTATTCACCGCGTTTCCGAGAAAAGGTACGCCAGTTACCTAATATTGGTGACGAAATCGAAAGTTTACCTAAGAGTATAATTACTATTCTACATTCAGCCGCTGTTAATATAGCCTTAATTTATTGGAATTACTATGGAAAGGTTAATGGATTTGATATTCCTAAATTACCGGATAATCTACAAAAATCTTGGGTACATTGTTGTAGAATATTAGATCGAATTCCTTCAAATACAAATGATACTCAAAATATAGATAATATTGATTTAAAAAGGCCCGAAGAAGGATTCTCATTTAATAATTTAAAAATGAGATTTCCATTCTTTAATGTCGAAGATTTAGGTTCATGTACAGAAATTTCATTTCATGGATACTCACTTGCATCTCTTAGATACGCATGCTATGATATCGTCGATGCAGCATTAGATCTTCAATCTGCAATGTACAATGGCGATAAAGATGAAATTATAATCCATCTTAACAAATTAATAGAAATAGCTAACCGAGGATCCGAAACACTATCGGAGCCAAAATTTAATTCTTATGCTGAAATAAGTATTATTCCTTCACACTGGAGACATATAGGTCAAACTGGACCTATAGCTCCAAATTGTCTTTTAGATCCATCAAAGGAGAAAACATCTCATCTTTTAACTGAAGCGAACCTGGATTGGTACACTGCTAAAGATGAAGAATTATTCGCTATAGCGGAAGAAAATAGCTTAATTGGAAATTCTACTAGCGGGTTATTTGATCCCATTTTCGCTGTTTTCGATATAATTATTGATCGAATACGTAAGTCTCTCATTGGAAAAATGTTCAGTAATGGATATAGGCTAATACCTAAATCTTATAGGCAATTTTTAACAGCGTTTAAATTAGGATTTGAGAAAACTGGAAGTCCTAAACAGTTTATAAAAGCATTGAACGATTCACAATTAAATAAGACTTTTGATTTATTTGAACGTTCTTATCATAGAATGTTGGATATACATCGTAACAAGGCATTAGGAGTTTTATCTCTTGTAACTCAGCTAGATAGAACTGTTACTGTAACTAACCAAGAGACAGAATCGAAGAGCGCTCATATACAACTTAATACAGAATTTAACGAATCAATCGATGATCGCCAATTTACTAACCGATTATTTAGTGCAACGATTCATTCTACTCCTGCTAATCTCAATCAGCGCAATACTCTACAATATGTAACCATTTCTATTTACGATAAGAAATTTTCGTATCAAGAGGGTGATAAACTTGGTGTACTTATACCGAATACTATTACAAATTATGACAGTGCGCCCCAATATTTTGTATTAGATATTCATACTAAAGATACTACTGAAAAAGAGTGGATAAAATTCGTACATAATCATTTTGGAATATCTAACGGAAAAGTATCTAAAGAAATATTTATTAAATACGCCGATTTTACAAATAATAAACCTCATGGCTCTCCATCTATAGTTCCTCCGCAACTGCCACGTACGTATAACATCGCCTCGTTCGATAACGATAATATTAAATTACTTGTCGAACGTATCGATAACGGTAAAGTATCGCCGATACTTGCGCCTATCGATAATCTATTCGATCAACATCAAGTAATTGATGTATTCCCTATTAATTCTTCTTTCCGACTTCCGCAAGATAGTTCTAAACCAATTGTGATGATTGGTATAGGTTCGGGTATAGCTCCATATCAATCGTTTATCGATCGTAATAAGAAGATGAATGAAAATCGTCGTATGTTGTTATACTTTGGTTGTAGAACTATAGAAGATGCTCCAGACACAGTAAATTATACGAAGCTATGTCTATCAGCTGATAATATACAAAAGTGGAAAGGATCGCAATATTCGTATATTTACAACGGTCGAGTTACGAGTTACTTTTCATCGAGCGAAGGTCAAAATAAATTAATCGAATTATGTAAAGAAGATGCATTGATCTATATATGCGGTCCTACAACTTTGTATAGAGATATGATTAGAATATTCAAATCGGCTATAGGTATTAAAGAATTAATTAGAATGTTAACAACTGATCGAATTAAAATCGAAGTATATAAGCCTATAACAAACGATTGTAAAATGAATATATCGATATACGATATTGTTACTCATAATGGAGGACGTAACGGTTGTTGGATTGTTATAGACCGTCGTGTATACGATATCGGTGAATATATTGATCTTCATCCAGGAGGCGACGAAATGTTAAAATTCGTATTGGGTACAGATGCAACGGAGTTATTTAATCAATTTCCTACAGCACATGGAAAAATGGCGCGATCTATATTAGAATTATATTATATTGGAGATGTTATAACATCAGATAGTTATTACGAAAGATTAGCATACGATGTAACGAAGAAACAAAATTGTATTGCTATATGGTACGGCGATAAACAAGAAAAACAATATCACTTCTTGATGAAGAGTCTCGATGCTCATATTATATGTCGAAAGTATTTTAATACAATGAATGAAGTCTTGGTTCAGAAGGATATTTTTGCTGAAGAATTCTCCGCATTACAAGTTATACACGAGTATAACGAATTAATCAAAGATAAAAGATATATATTTCCGTACAAGCGAAATAATGAAGGTGATTTACTAACAGAGGATGATGAATTTAAAATTATGGAAACATTACATGAATATAAAGCGAAAACAAGATCAGTAGATATTTATTACTTAGATAAACTAAAACGAGCATTGGCGAAACATCTTAATTGCATCAATTCTGAAGCCTGATAAATTGCGAATTGTTAAATCGCAATAAGCTTTAACATTGCTAGGATGCTGTATATTTTATTTCTATTTTATATTATATATATATTTGAATAACAAATTGTTTTTTAGTAATGAAAAGTATATATTATTCATTATGAGGTAGTAGTTAATAGTAAACACATATGGTATACCAGGTACATTCTATTAATAATAAAACTAACTTACACTAAATTGTAGCGTAATTCCAAGTATTCGTGATTTATCTTTATTAAATTTATTCGCGGAATTCTATTTATGCTCTAGCTTGATTGTATTGTAGAAATACCTTATCGTAAAAGTAAGTTCTTCTAATAAATTCTTTCACGTTTACAATTAATTCTCCCGTGTTGTGCTTTCCACAATATAACAATTCTTAAGCATCAATTTCATTAGCTAGTTGTATTTAACTGAGCTGTAGTTTGTGCACTTTACGTCTTCTACTTTACTTAAGCTACTCCAGTATTTCATGTCGTTTATTAATTATTGTAGCCAAAATTCGGTTTCTTCAAACACATACTATAAATATTACTATTTTCTTCTATTAATCTGGTGTAATTACTTGCTGTTATGACGAACTCTCAATCTTCCGAAACTACAATAAGTGTTTATCTCAATAGTATGCTCTACTCGGCTAATATTTAAGATTATGTATATTTGGATAGCGAAATTTGCCCTCGCCGTCAATAGAATAGGGTCTTATTTAACGGCGCTTAATTTAATCATGGTTAATAAAATCCTATTTTTAGTTTAACACAAATTTTGGTACTCTAGTTACTCCAGGTTTGAATTTAAATTCAAAAAATGATGAATTAAATTGAAGCTAATGCATCGAGCTGCTAATGGATGCTCTTGAAAAGTTTAGAATCAGCTTAGTTTAATAAATTGGAGAAATATCTTTTATTCTTCTATCTTAGAAGATACTGCAGTATTTGTATTGCAATGTAGGATTAATTTTGAATAAAGCATTCCACTTATGAGATCGTAATGTTATAATTCTCTTGTATGCTAGCTTAGTTTCTGGATAAGGGAATCATAGATACTCCAACTGTTATTGTGAAGGATCACAGATAATTATCTCAATTTAGGATTAAATTTAGAAATTTCTTTATTTTGTACTATGCACTATATAATAGTATTCTTATGCTAATATAATCTAAGATCAAAATCATAACATGGAGCTTGTTATTAATGGCTAAATACTATTAGATAAATGCAAAATACTTTATTACAGAAATTAAAATCAAGATAGCTCAATGTGATATTTGAAAGGGCAGTATTGCCCTCAAAATATGGTAATAAATGCCGATTTAACTTGGCAGAAACAGGATTTGTCTAACTTGTTGCTAATTATATCGAATATTTATTGTGTATTTCCATAATTTATAAATAAATTATCATTTCGATTGAATTATATATTACTGCTAGAGCCGATCATTCACACTTTTTAAATTAGCAATATTGCATGAAATAGATTTAATTCTGAAAATGATGTAGTCGCGGGATTATTCTATCGCATCTTAAAAAGGCTAATTAATTATATTCTAGAAATGAGTAAGCTAAATGTTTGTTAAAGATTCAAATTTTTGAGATTCTACTGCAAGAAATCGTAATCTTGCTGATAATTAATTAAGAAATAGCGTAGCTGTGTTATCTGGAAGAATACTTGGACATCTGAGTATTTTCTCGTACTGATACTACTTTTCATTCCAGTTTCCATTCGATTACATCAAGAGGTAGGGGAAGAGCAAATTTATCGTACAATGCTATTAAACAGCTTCAGTTCTTGACTCTCATTGGCCATCATATGCGATAGAAAGATGATCAAAACTAAATTATACTATCTAGGTTTTGTTTATAATTCATATTTGCAGTAATTATAATCAAAAATAAATTTATTCTTGAAGCAGTTCAAATTTTTTCGTATGATATTGCATTTTAATCACGGAAAGTTTTATAATCACAATCAGCAAGTTGTGTCCTATTAATGATATCAAGACTAAACTAATACAGTACATTTGTATTTTCGTTAGAACACATAGTCTTACAAAGTATTTCGGAGCCATTACAATCTTTCATTTGTATCATTAATTATAAAAGTATCAAAGATAAAACTTTATTTAATGCGTCAGAAAAAATAATATTAAATTGCTGCATTATTATTTATTCCAAAGTATGAATGCTTACTTCGAATTATTAAATTAAAATCCATTACACTTGGTAACCCCAACGGCTGTTACGCTATCGGAAATTGATAATGGAGTATTGAAAATTTTGATATTACCAATACATCCAATCATTCCAACAGAGAATCGATTTCCAGTTTTAAAGGCAATATTCTCTGCACCACCTACAGAAATCGAATGAATTCAATAGGTCAAATGCATTATCACTCTTATTTAAAGTTATGTACAGAAACAAAATCCATTTTAGCTCCTAAAATTGGGATAAACTTGTCAGTCAATATGAATTTCTTATAGGCAATGATTTTACGGATTTTTAGGTACTGTTAATCAGCTCTAAAACTAAAAATAAGTAGGTTTATTCAATTTTAGGAAGTAGCTATAAGACTTGTATGTAATCTTACTATATAAAAAATTTTGCGTATGTGCTCACACTACAGTGCATAGTATTATAAAATACAAGGATTTTAACTGGAATTGAAATGCATGTTTGATACCTATATCTACTTAAACTGTACTGTGAATTGTGCGAGTACATAAATTAAAAATTAGTTACGACGAGTATTACAAATGATGAGTGAACTAGACGTCTCCAACGGGTGTATTTATATACGCCTAGGTACACTAGTATCTAGCTAAAAATGATTACAGGATGGCTATTACTATCTACTATTTGCCATTACTAACGATAGAGAAGATCATACTATATTGTGTATATCTTTATAAAGAATCATTTTAACAATGGATGACTATTAAATGGTCTATGATGAATATTTTGTGCTTTGAAACTTTATCTATCGTTATATAATTGCTCTGATCCCGTAGTATAATTTTATGGCCGGCTATCAATATACTAAATTAACATTAAATTGTTTGAGAAGTAGGCAGCATAATTCGAGCAGATTTAGGCTGATCTATAGGCTAATATATACGGATATATGAGCCATATGTATACAGAAGTTATTATCAAGGTAAACGCAATTTGCCTGGTAACTTATGGGTTAGATCAACTAATCTGATGTGCCCGTTTATTTCACTGTTCTATAATATATAATTGAAGCAATGCTTTACATACACTAGGATCAACAGGAGATATTCTAAAAATAGATATACTTTGCAATCTAGTTACATTTAAACATTTATAACAGCTTAATACAGAGACAAGCTCCTATTCTGGCAAAGGATATATGTAGTGGAACCTAGCTGAATCGACATAAAATAGATGTACATACCAAAATAAACATTTGAGAAATCTGCCAAAGATTCATTTTGACCAGGTGCTTCATCAAGGCCAGTTGCAATCACTCCATCAACTGCTAGATAGCCTTGTCTACCGCTCCTATAATTTATAATTCGTTAATTTAACTCTGTTTATACCCGTATTGACAAGACCCTTCAAAAATATCTTTTAACCAATAATTGCTAGGTTTCATTCCTGGTAGTAACATCAAGTAGATAATCATATAAATAAGTGTATAAACCTCATAACATGAACAGTGTGCTTTTGGTTGTCATTAACAGTAGCTGCTGTATTTAGGACTGCCTCGCCACTACCTAAGTTGAATCTGCCAATAAATTTACGAAGCAAAGTTAATCGATGTAGTGTTCGATTGATTAAATATATATATATATATACATATATATGGAGAGCATAAAGCCCTTAACGACTGCTCACCTTAACTGCACGACACCGCTGCTTAACCTTATATACATGTATTGGTTGGCATTAAAATTAATCTATAATCGAGTACAGTTTCAAATGTGAAATTAGTCTCAATTAACTGAAACATGTATTTTCATAGCTTCTATTCTTGTAGAGAATAAATTTTCAAAATAAAACAAACATGCTTTTTATTCGCTTATAATATCCAGCTGCAAACAATGAAATATTTTTTAGTAATTTTTAAACTAATTTTTATGTTAGGCTTAAACAAATTTAGTGGTTAATAATTAGTATGGACAAGAGTAAATGGTTCTTGCGCTTTCGTGAAGCTTGTTTTCATTACGAATGAGAACATAGTGTCGATATGAAACTGTAGAATAGAGTTCAATCTGATATTTTATTGAAATTTCATGTTATTAATTTTTGTTTCTACATACGGTATTAAAATTACAGCATAATCATATCGATTGTTAATGGTAGAGTAAAATTAAATTTGAGATCTTATTCTACACTACACGAGGTTAAAACGAGTTGAATTTCAAAATATAGATGGAACCTAAACTTAGCGATTGGTAATAGTAGATCAAAAATTAAATTTGACACCTGTTCTATATACTATTATTTATTTAATTCAATTCACGATGTTTCGCGTATGTCTACTCTTAGGATACAGTAAATTTTAAATGCTCTTTCTCGTTCGTAAAACTTTTCGTATGTATTGTGTTTCATATTTCATTTATGCGTATATACAATTTTCATGCGATCTACACTGTTATTTTTAGATACAGATAACTTAGAACAATCTCAAATACCTGTACTGTATTATAAGAATTTATACTTCTATAAAGTGATCTATTTGTCTTAATACTTTATTATAAATTAGCGAATAATACTGTTTCATGAAATATTCCAGATTGATTTGTATATTAAATAAATTTCGATGATATTATCAGGACAAAACTTACATCGCCTTGCCAGTAAAGCAAAGTATTTGCTTCTGTTGTTTTAAATTGGAATTGTATATCTTGTTGACTACATAAAAAATAAGAATTCAATTAGGATTATAAAATTTAAAGTAATGTAAATGCTATATAACAGCAAATATTGGTTAACTGCGATATTAAATAAATGGATGTTTATAAAAAGCTTAAGCTGTAATTTTAATCTAATCCTCTGCTGAGCTTGACGAATTTTATCTATTACACTTGTTGTTTTGCTTACTTATTAACTGAATTGATGCTGTAGCGAAGATATCCATATCGATCAAAATTAGCAGCATCGTCAGCTTGGAGAGATATAGCTGTAAAAATGGATCACAATTGCAACAGAATTGAATTTAGAGGATAATTTTTATTAGTGAAGTATACCAGTTAGTAATTGCCATCATATACTTACTTGAATCACAGTTTGTTATTCCTGAATAAGGTAAAGCACATTGGCAGATATAGTTACTACCACCCGTACTTACACAAGTACCGCCATTTCTGCATGGCGCACTGTAGCAAGGATCAGCTAACGAAGCAAAGCTACTGCTGCATAGGTAATCGTAATATCCCGATTGACAATCGCAATAGTAATATTTATTATCTGTAGGATGGCTTTTGCACGTTGCTTGATTTTGACATTTATTCAATTGGCAAGGATCGCCACAAGCCAATGTGTTACTCTCTTCAAGTTTATTATTGGATAAATCATAGGTATGATTGTCAACAGAAAGATAAGATATACAACCGGAGAAGCCAACAGTGATGTTAGGAATAGGATTTGAATTCATATTATTTAAACTTCCAATATACAACCAGTCAGTTAGGGTAATTACAGTTGATCGACCACTCTCTCGGCTGTAATTGCGATAGACTGGTCCATCATTAATCTGTATTGTTGCATTGCCATACTCATAGGTAGCTGCGATTGAATACCATGTATTTGTTTTCATAGTATCTGGAATTATGATCCAACCAATGATACCTGGATTATTAGCGACATCTGGTCCACTAGAATACATAAAACCGAGATGTTGGTCAGTAAGGGCTAAGGCTAAGAAATTTATCGTGTCAGGTGTATGATCTTCGAAGCCATTGCCTTGGAAAAAGATTAAGCTATCATTGAGTGAATCGAGTTTCAGACGGATATTTAAATAATGAGTGCTGGATGACGTTTCATTAACTGAATTTTTTGTAGAGAAAGCTTGGTAAGAGACAGTAGATCCCGGTGAATTAGCAAAACGCCTGACATATGCTTGGGCTAGCAACGATCAAAATTAGAATAAGAGGCATGGTCAATGAATTGAAAATACACACAAAGGCTGGCGAAGGACTGTACTTACATGCTACTTGAACGTCTAACGTTGTTGTTGATGAACCAATGCTAGAAGTTCCTGTGCAGATATACGTAGCCTGCTTAGCTGCAGTAATTCGACGGAGAGTTAAACGATTAGCTAAGGTATCAGCAAAAGTAAGAGAAACACCATCAGAGCGAGTCCATCGAGGACTAACTACTACCGGATCTCCATCCGCTAGACAAAGATGAACACCAACATTTTCATCCACTTTGTATATAACCAAGGATGAATTGGGATTCAGCTTTGCTCTAGGTAGTTCTAAATACAAAAGTCCATTTCAAGAAGTTACAAAGCATTAATCCCAATATATTTAATCTTTAATAAATTAAAATTTTCCTATCCGATAACGGAATCAAATTAGTCCTACAGCTTGACCATTCTATGCAAATTAACCTTGTACGGTTAGATAAGATACACCGCTGGCAGTAGCAGCAAGATTGCTAACGGAGCAAGTTATACTTCTATCGATATTTTCAAGTTTGCTAATTGTTAATTGTGTTCCATTGATGGTATGACGATTAGCTGGAAAAGAACCAGTAGTGCTTGACCAGCTTACACTAGAATAAACTGAAGTTCCTGGATCGCACGTAAATCTTGCGGTACCTCCGCGTAAAAGAGTTAAAGCCGATGGCAATACTCTCGGTACAGGGGGGTCTAAAATATGAGTTAATTTATGAAAATAGATGATGTTTAATTGTATCATACGATTTAATATAATCGATCGATCGTTTACTACTGTATCAATCTTAGTATTTTAATCAAACTCTGATTAAGTTAGCACATAGTAGGGAAAGAGAATTAATCAAATTAATTGATAGAATTTGATAGCATACCAACAACGAAAATATGAATAGAGGAGGAAGCATTCCCGTCTTTTATAAAGATTTCACATTGATATCGACCATTGTCGACACTACTGGCATTAATTAGAGTTAGAACGCTATTAACACCAACTGTGCTAACGACAGCATTAGATGGTAAAGAACTTTGACCAACTCTACTCCATACAATTGCAGTTGCAGGAATAGTTGCAGCTGCACAGCTATAGGTGATATTAACACCAGCTGCAATAGTTGTGTTGCTTGATGGGCTAATTATAGCTCTAGGGGTTACTAAAAGTAGATTTGCAGACATTAAAGACGGTGTATGTAATTCTATGTTTGAGATATTCAGAATCGAAAACGAGCAGAGAGAGTAATGTATATATTTAAAATCAACTTTACCAGCATCGCATTTTTGTCCAGTATATCCAGGAATACAAGTACATTTGAATCCGCCTACAATTGATGAGCAGTTACCTTGATTGCATGGATTAGGAGAGCAATAATCTAGCCGATAAGAGAGTTGTAAGTGCATCAGTAATCCAAATGATAAATAAGTTCTTATGTTTAGTTGCTGAAAATGTCGGATAGTTTTATTTTAGCCGTGATCAGCTACAATCATGCGATCTATCGCATAACGGCAATATTCAACAGAGTACCAGTACATTAAATACTTATAACCATAACAGCACTTGAAATATATTATTGCCCATTCACTGGTTTTGTTATGACATAAATAACTAGTAGATAAATATGTTTCTTATCAATTTCCAACAATTATATAATGTGGTGGGGGTCAATGAAACATTTACTTATATCGCAATGTTTTCCTTGATAATCTCCAGTACATGAACAATTATAGCCGTCCTTAAAAGCATTGCAAGTGCCTTGAACGCATGGACTAGGTTGGCAATACTCTGAAAGCATAAATTTACATATTATGTGCGGTCAATAAATATACAGAGTCTATTGTAGCTAATTACTAAGTTGTATAACAGAAGGTAGGGGATATATACAATTCGACTTAACAGGTTTAATTGTAATACATCTTACGTTGGCTGCAAGTTTTTCCGTAGTATGTTGTAGGGCATGTGCAATTATAACCGCTTTCGTTTGATTTACATTGACCTTGATTTTCACAAGGATTGGGCTGGCAGTAACCTACAATATCATTCGTAAAAGTGTAGTTATAAGCGTTTATAAATATATGATATTATGCATAAATCACAGTATTTCCTGATAACTAAATGACAAGAAACTAGATAGCGAAAAAATTTGTGTTGTAGAGGTTGAGAATACTGAAGGTAACGCAGTAAACGTTTTAGAATAAGGAATTGCAAATTCTGAATACACCAGAGAGAAATAGTTAATAAATAAAATATTGCTAAATTACTATTAACTATAGATTAGCTAAAAAGGGGGCGACTAAGCAGTTAAGTGAATAGGATACATTTGGATAAACTACTTTATGTAAGTACTAAGGAATTAGTTTATATCACGTAAAAATTGTAGCGCAGCAGATGTACAATTAATAGTTATTTAATAACTTCAATGCAGTTAAAACGTGAATGCTAAGATCATATACTCGTGCATACAAACAGCCTTATAAACATTAATTTATAATACTCTGCGACTACTGTATTTTTAAATCAATCGGTACTTTTCATTTATGCGAGAGCAGTATTACTTTATATTCGATGAATTCAAATGCGAAGACGTAGATATCCAGTACTACTATACATAAGTATAGTACTGTCAAATATGTACGGTAAATATCAATATTTTATAAACACAATTTTCAAGCGTAGTCAATCACTGTAAGATTATAATCTTCTATAATAAGAAAACGTCATTATTAGAGATAATATGGTAAATATTGCTTCAAATGAATCGATTTCTATTTATAAATGTTAAATTTTAACCGAAATGCTCCAGTATATTACCTATCATGGATTTAAAGTGTTATTTCAATTTTATCAGTTTAGAAACTATAAGATTTTAAACCTTAATTGTATTCTAAGATAATCTTCGGGTATATCAGTATACAAATATCGTTTTTATTTTATGTTGGGTATTTAATTTTTGATATAGTGGAATCTTAAATATTAATCTTACAATTTACCGTTATTTGATTTGATTGTACAGTATTTATATGTACATAATGATTTGTAATAACACTTGGTAAGAGCTTACTTTGATCACAGTTCTTGCCATGATAATTATTATTACAGATACAATTGTAGCTATCCTTTCCTGAGTTGCAAGTGCCATAAAGACATGGATTAGGTTGGCAAAAAGCTGTTAAACGAAGAAAATAGCAACAGATTAATAGTTATATATATAATTAATCGTTCAGCGTTTAATTTAAAATGTAAATCATATATCAATGATCATGATTCTGGGAACTTACAAAATCGTTCTGTACAATATCTTAAAGAACATAAAGGAGGTGCAGGCAGTTTATAAGTGAAGAATGTGCCGCAATTTCTAATTTGAATATTGCTGGACCATTTACATTTTTCATTAATGAAGGAGTAACAGACTTTTCGCGCAATGATTCCTTGCGGACCTAATGAATTCAAATAGTGAGTAATGAGCTGGTGCTGAATTGTGCCATTGCATGCGACATAAAATAATCATAAATGAAATACCAAAGCTTTATTCGGTAAAAATGAAAATATCTTAAATCTTTTATCAAGATTAAATATTTAATTTTCGGTACAGAAGGCGTTGGCTATAGTCATAACGTGACAGGATTATGGCTTTCAATTATATGACATGGAAATGCTTGGAAACGATAAGCTTAGGGCAATACTGTAAACGTGGTAAACTGATAGCGGTAGTTTGATTAGATTTCATGAGTATCATGAACTGAAATATCAGAAATTACTTTTTGATTATATAGCAATGAATAAAACCCTCGTTATTCCATTTCAGCAAGCTATATAAATCAGTACTGTATATCTTTACTTTAATAGTAGTAACGGATTCTAATAATACGATATTTTTCTATCATAAGTTGTTATAAAATTTTATGTTGGCGGTGTAAATTCAAGTGATTTTTAGTGATATTAATAATCAATGAATTATAATTTATCCGTCAAGGTGTATTAATTGCACGACCGTCTATTTTACTCATATTTAGGCCATTCCACCTAAAATTATAATTGGTGCAGACTAGATCTTGAACGTTGCAAGTTATACCTGTTGGATGCATATCTTGTAGCCAACCCGAGGAAAGCGAAGCACATCTGCCATGTTCGACGTAATTGCTAGCCAACATTGCACTATTTTCTCCTCCAGTAAAGCGATACCATTCGTTTCTAACGACTAATAGATCGCATTTAACGATGACATTTCTTTCTGTGTGGATAGAGCGATCGGGTTCATTTAACTCTGTATATTGTTGGCAGGGGTCTATATAAATGGATGTGCAATCGCAAGATTTCGCCAATTAGGATATTTTCGTAGGAAAGAAGATATAGAATGAGTAAACAAGTTGAATATATATTATTAAACGTAAACTGAACGTCTGTAAGATAGAAATTGACATCATTTCCGATCTAAAAACTAGTCTTATTACAAATTTGCCACAGAATCAACATTTTTTAGCTCATTTTTACCTATTTCGCATAGCAAACCGGTGTAATTCTTATTGCAGGAACATTGAAAGCTATTACCGGATTGTTGGCACGCTCCATGAACACATGGATTAGAGTCGCATGGATTACCTACCAAGATAGATTTATCACTTTATCATCAGTAGCGGTATTTATTTTAGAGACCATATGCTATCCAAATAATGCGATATCACTGTAACTACAAAAGTACTGATTTTATTTTAAGTTTGGCTTTTCAAAGAAAAAGTTGTATACTCCTTAAGTATTCAAATTTAAGTAGATGATACTGGAGTGGAGCAATAATAAGAGAAAATAAATTCCGAAAAAAAATTGTTATACTACTTTATTAGTTATGGTATAGGATTTCGAAATACTGAAATTAATATAAAAGCAATTCTACTTATGGAATAGAGTAATTCGAATCGAACAATGTACAAGGCCTATTCCTAATCGATGTGGCTGCGTCCTTCGGTTAAAATTTATAGAATCTCAACAAAACTGTGTGTAGATTTCTTCTAAAGATGAAGAAACTTTATAGATTGAATTATTTTAATGACAAATGGAAATAGGTGACAGATAGATTGGACAAATATTTCCGATTTGAACTTGATTTAGACCGAAATAAATCTCTTAACATATATTTAATGTAGATATTGAGCAATGGCACTACTGTATTGTTTTTCTCTATAAAGTGTTAACAAGGACCATGAATACATCCTTCTAATAATGTCTACAAGACTGTATGATAAGATTGTCAGTTTTCACCACTTCTCTTCCCCATAAAGTAAAGCTGCTTTTAATTTAACTCTCTATACTTAGACTTTTGATTTTTTCGTTCAGATATGCAATACTGATAATTTGTTGGTAGAAATACCAACATTAATTTTTAATGTTGTATTTGCATCTCAAAATTTATCTTCTTTTAAGTTTCTTTATATCTCATAGATAGATCTATCAGTTGGATTGTTGCTTATTTATACGTAGCTATTTCATTTATTTTGACAAGATCTATTTTTATAAGGAAGAATCCTTACGAATTATGTATGATATTGATTTTAAAGAAATCTTTTTATCAAATCTCACCGAAATAAATCAATTCCTTTATCAGGTTATTGTAGCAGCTAACTAATTCAGAGTCAGGAGCATCATGGTCACATAACGATTAGGACAAACTGAACTTCGAAAATTTAATGTAAATGAGCTAATAAATTAATTTAAATTAAGGTGATACTTAAGTTCGATATGACTACTTATAATTGTTAGTACAGGAATGAGCACTCAGCTCTTAAGTAATGATGGACGAGTCTTAGTATCTGTAACTTAGTATTAGATTACAAATTATTAACTAGTCATGATTAGAATGGTGCACGGCAGCTTAGATTTCTATATTTATCCTAAGGTATACTCTTATTTAGTACCCCATAGCCATAGAACGTAACTGTGGATTCTTATTCGAGTGCAGATGACCATATACCATATACAGTACCGTATTAGGTCATACTATTGAAGCCAAAGCTTAAAATAGGTGCAAGTATGTAATTCATATATTAGGATATGATTAAATCATCGTACTGTAGTGTGGTAGGAAGAATAACTTCTACGTAACTACTGCACTCTAGTGTACAGTAGTAATTAACATTTTGGATTACAGATGATCCGCTGTATAATTGTAAAATTAGGTAGGATATTGCTATACTGATTGTAGCTGCCATATGCTACGAAAAGTACATCGATAGACAATTTTAGGTTATTCTAGTAGCTCTGTCTAGAAATTTTTCTAATATTTGCATTTGTATTCGGCTAAAGTAGAGCAATGTGTAGATCATCTTTGTATAGAGATCTTACAAAGTTCTAATTCTTTTCACAAATTTTGAAATTTCTTGTCCGGCAATTTCATAGTGTCAAATACTTTTAAAGCATGAAATTAATTTCAAAGGATGTAATAAGTGCGTAATTATGATTTTCAAGCCGATAGTGTTCTCGATAGAAATTGCTTAAATAGCGTAAAGTGATCATAGAAAGTACTAAAAATTGCAAAACTATAAAGGAGATACGCTGAATGGAAAATTAATCTTAGCTCAGGCGCATGAATTTGCGATACCACACTAAAGATATGATTGAAGTTATAAAGAAAAAGAATTTATCATTAAATTATCTCGTCTAGAAAGGATTAATATTGTAGATTAAATGTGATTCAAATCTGAAACGAGTTATTTTGTTCAAATATGAGTGTTCATAAATGATTTTAACATATAATCTTATAACAAGTAGTTGACACTATGGTTAAAAATTGGACTAACAATTGAAAAGCTGAATCACATTTCTAATAATGGCAAACTACCATCGTGTGAACTACCATATAATCATTGCATGTAGGTGTGCCATTTTTTGATTCAATGAGATCGCAGAAATCTCAGTAAAGTAACGGAAATCGAACTATTTTAGTTCATTCCAGCGAGGAATTAAGTAAACTATAAGGAAAATGATCCAGATGCCAGCGATAAAATGACTTTGAAACTCTATTTATTAGTTCTCCCAAGTTAAGAGCAATTAAAACTTTTAACCTGATGATAGAACCTTCTGTCGGATATTTTTTAAGGTAGTTAACGATAAGTAGCTACATTGCAGATTGAATGGTAAGAAATACTAATAATTAAGTAGAAATTGATTCGTTACATTAGTGTTAGGTTATATTATAAGAATGAATTAAAACAATAAATTCTGATTAAGAGTATAATCATCATCATTTTTTCCTATAGTACGTGTTGTAGAAGACTAAGTTATTTGATTAATTGGAATCCTTCGATGAGGGTAAGTGTACTATTAATGTGATGGAAATAATAACGGAAATAGTATCAAATTTCAGGATCATATCTAGCTATAAAGGTCAAAGCTAATAAGGCATCTTACCTTGGCCGAGGACAAGTACATGAAGGATCTACGCATAAATTTACAAAGTGGATTAGTACATTTTAGATAGCAATCGCAAGCCAAACTTTAATTCATCATGTATTTATTAGGTCTTTATACGACAATAAAAAGAGTTTTAACGCTTCGATCGTTACCGTGAATATATAAACAAGCGTAAAAGCTTGCATTAGCCTTAACGATGCCATTTTCTGGAATTACATTAATTGCTAAGATCTTTAATTCAAATGACCAAGCTTGAACTGATGAAGAGCGCTATTGGTATATTGCTGCGATCAAGCAAAATTTTTTAATCAGTTCGATTAGCTGGGGTTGTGGACTATGAGCTAGCTGGTTTGCTTAATGAATCTGCATTTCAAATTAGTAGCTTATGACGTTGTTAAATATCTCACTGATATGACCAATATTGGCCTTTTATTGACATTTTTGATATATTATTATTATTGGGATAAAAAATAAATTGAGATAAAGTATCTTTGTTGAATCTGCTACATGCTTCCATGCTGAAACAATTGCAAAAAATGAATAAATAACACATATAAGAGCCGTACCGTGATTAGAAATTTTTGAACACCGGTATACAAATAGCTCAGATTACTTGACCGAAATTTTTTTAGAGATATTTAGCCTTATTTGTTAATTTTGAAAGCTAAAAATTTAGAAATTACTGGTATAGTATTGGTTTTACCTATATCAGAAAGCTGGATGAGTGATTTTATATGATAATAATTTAGGTAAGATTATATAGCATAATCTAATAGCGAGTAGAAGTTGCAATAATGGAATCTTTGTGGCGGAGCCCGATCAAAGTTGGACATTGATCGATTTCTTGTTGACATAAATCAACATGTTTATTTACTGTGATCAACAGATTTGCGTCAGAATTTTATAACTGAAATTTCTTATAGCTAGATTTCATACGTTCAGAGCGAAGTCACCCTTGAACTTTTCATTTTTGTCGTTTTTTACTCGATTCTAATATTATTATAAGATATTTGTGAATGCAGTGGAACTAAGAGAATGATTGGATCAGATTAATGACCGAGTTAGCTCAATTCACTTTTCAGTTATTTACTGGTATACTGCAAACTTATATGCTATCCATTTACAAAATAAGTTCATAACGCGACTCATGATCTTTCAAAATGAACTCTCTGTTTGTCTTCTTCAGTGAGCATACGTTTGAAATATGTGCATGCTAATATTATAATTTTTAACAATCCATTTTAGAATAAGATATGTACAACCCATTGCAGCAGTATAACCCTAACACATAGGATACAGCCTCAATCGCAACAGCAATACAGTCAGTATCCGTAGATGCTGCTTTCTATTTAGAGTTAAATTCATTAAAGCAGTTAATATGCAGAAATCGACTTTAATATAATTGTTAGTCCCTAAACTTTACTCTTTGGCAACTTAGAATATGGTAGCCATATAATATTTAAAGTAGCGACATAAAAAGAATAGCATACATAGACGAGTAGCAGGTGTTAAATCAAAGGCATACTATGGAAGATGTTGCAAAATTGACTTTGTAGTCGTAGTGATGAAGATTTATCATTAACCTTATAAAAAGATTAAAATTAAATTCTGAATAAACGCGTGTTAATTTATTTATTTAATCGAATCGCCAGCGGGAGATGGAAAGGAATCTTTATTGCAACAGCCTAATTATTAGCGACGGTACTTAGGCTTGGATATCTGATGACAACTTTCGTATATTTTGATCATAGTCCTGTAGAAGTAATCTTATTCATACCGTCTTCAAACGAACACCTACAAAGTTATTTCAGAAACTTTTTACTATATAAGCATTAGGTCTGAATTATATCATAACGATATGGATTCAGAAATAAGTAATTTACGGTCCTGTCTTAACTTTAGGCAAAAAGCAAGTAAGACTAATTAACATGAAATGAAAAGGTGTAAAAATTTTGTCGTGACTCAGTTAACTTTTGTAGCAATAAAAGAGAAAATGAATATTAAGGTAGAAATCAGCTCATTTAAATTATTGAATTCCTACGTGTAAATTTTCTTCAGAAAATACGGCAGTAGTTTAACTATCTCCAACTAACTTAGTAGATTTACTGAATAAAGACCAACTACTTCTACACAGTAATACCACTGCTCGGTTAACTTGTAGTAAATGTACTTTACTATAGTAAAATCTAGCAGTAGTAATAAATCATAAAGGAACGGCTGCTCTAACTCAGGACGTAGAACGAGCTCATATACTTTTGTACGCTATTTACAGATTTATGTGTAAGGAAAAGTTAATTAATAAATTAATAAGTCAGATATTATTTTCTAGAGCAATTCATTTAATATATAGCATAAGCTGTAGAGAATGTTAATTAAAATATTACGCTAACTGATACCATCCATTTATTTGGTCTTAACACTAAGGTCTAACAGGAAACAAGTTTAAGTATTAAATTCTCCGTCTTAATTTTAACACATACTTTCTATGCTGATCCTTTAGTTCTACCATTAACCAGTTTTATAAAAGCTTAATAGACAAAATATTATTTACGGTAAAACACCAGCCGTAATACTACTCCTTCCTCCGTTTCGAACCTGGATTCGAAATCACAGCAATCAAATTAGTTCACTAATACATATTAGAGAATTAAATTAAGTTTAATAAAGCAACTTGTTTCCGTCACACTGAGATGCTTTACACCTCAGCTCCTTCTGAGTTAAAACTCATATAAATCATATACCGGTACTGTTCTAATATTTGTTAGCGCATATCTGAAGCAATAATAGTCTGCTATACTCCTCTCAAAAGTAATAATAGATCAGAGTATTCTGTATTATTTAATCAATTATAACTAATCACTTGCGATTTTACTGTTACTATCAGTTTTTGGGCATACAAAATCGAGTTTATGTCATTGATCTTGTAGCCAATAAATTAGTAAAAATAATGAATCGATAGCAGGAAGTATAAATAGATTATATGCATTCTACCATTTAGTGTCAAAAATAGAATGATGATAATTTTAGGATACAATGAATACCATCACTCGTTGAGCATGCAAGTTGAGTTTGCATCATTGATCTAGTAGTTAAGCAATATATAAGTGAAAATAACGGACCGATCGTAGAAATTATAAATAGATTATATATTTATTACCATTTAATGTCAAAAAATTAAAAGATGATAATTTTTGGAAGCGATTATTACCATCAGTTGCTGGACATGCAAGCTAAATTTGTATTAGTGATCTGGCAGTTACGTAATACATAAGTTAAAAATAATAAATCAGTTACAAAAAGTAGAAATAGATTATTTATTTCCTGCCATTTAGTGTCAAGAAATTAAAAGATGATAGTTTTAGAACTGATCTAAACGTAATTTTAAGACCCTAGTAACACTAAGTTTATAGAAACCTAGATTAAGGATGCGATAACAATATACTCTTAAAATATAACAAATACGAACAAAGTCTATTTTTTATTGGAAATTAATTTCACTAGTACATCATTAAAAATCACAGTTATGTTTATAGTTAAGAACTGTTAACAGAAACGTAAAGAAATTAGTTATCATTATTTGGTGCTAGCATTAATTGCCAGTTAACAAATAATTAGCTAAACAGCTTTTAGACGCAAAGAGTTTCACAATGTAGAATAATATTTAGATCATCGCAATTCGAATTTAAATTTAATACCACGAATGACAAGGTAAGGAAAATAAAGTCACATTTAAAAAAAGTTTCAAATTTCGATAATGTTTTAGCTGATAACTTCTTGAAATCTTAAAGCTACCTCGAACCGCAGAATATACGATCATCAGTATAAACTGCAATACTGATAGCTTCAATTTAATAGAGTGGAAGAATGTTCAATAAAATTAATCACTTATTTGATCCATTAAATTTTACCACCAATCCACCAATTGGTAGTACTTTGTGGGCTACTGCTACATGAAAATATGGGATTATAGTATTGATAATAGCCAAAATTATCTTCATTTCCAGTTGTACTGCTGTAGCATTGCCTGCCAATACAACATAATTTTGTAGAATATTTAGTGTGGAGGTGAGTTCCGCTGTCTGCCCAAAATGCTCGTAAACAGTTACTACATTGATGGCCATGAATATCAATGTAATCAACAAGACGACATTTGCCTTGGCCAGTATAGCTTAAGATATTAAATTGATCAAAGTAACCACGCATATAATCGAAAGGGTGATTTGAATAATATCGGTGTGGGTTTTCAGGGTTATAATTGCAAGTTGCGCGCCACATTGGTGAAGTTAATAGGCGATCTTGCTCATAGCTGTAATGCATTTGAGCTAAGCTTAGGCGAAAATAGGACCAATTGCTACCTCGCCTTGCTCCATTATTAACACCACTGCTATATCGAAATGCAAGATTAATGTTTGGGTTATATCGTTGATAGCGTGAAAATGATTCAATTAATGTCCATGCATAACCGGGCTCAGACGTAAAATCGCAATAAATCCACCAAATCCTCGGCAAATAAGCGTCGACTAAGCATGCTCTGGTATAATAAACACGGTATAATCCATTACGTGGCGTTACGGTCTTATTTCTAGCTATATCTAAGCAAGATTTAAAGCTCATTGAACATTGTTCTAAAATAGAAAGGTAGTGATTGATTAGCAAAGAATGATGCTACTTATGCGCTAGGTAAGCGATCTCAGTAATAGAACTGATCAAATTTAGTATAATTGATGAACATTTTCCTTAAATCAGAAGAAGTTTATACCATATCATCTTTCATCAAGTATTAGTGGTTAAAGGATTATTTAGAAAGTGAAAAAATGATTACAAACTACTACCGGTTGTTCATTTCCAGTTGCGTAGTTAACATCTTTACATAAATTGAAACATAAAGCCACCTACCAATTTCACAATGAGCTCCAGTATATTGAGAAAAGCAGTTGCATCGATAGCCGCCATCACTCTTAATAACGCAGCTTCCATGAAGGCAAGGATTCCTGTGGCTGTTACATATACCTGCAAATGATAGAAAAATATGGGCAGTTTGCAAAATGACCGATTTCGCATACGGTCACGTTCATATATATTGTCATGTCAAAATGTTTAATTTTTTTCTATTAAGAACAAATAGCAGATTAAAATTGGACAAGAAGTCTAATTGGGTGTTAGTCATTGTTGTAAATTATATTGAAAAACAAGTAGACTTACTTAATTCACAATTTGTACCGTTATATCCTTTATTACAAATGCACTGGTATCCACCATGACTTAATAAGCAATGGCCATTTACGCAAGGATTAGAGTTGCATACGTCTGTTCAATACATATATAAATCGTACTCACGTATCGATATTTATATTGCTTAAAAATGAAACTCTACTATAATAGTATTTGCTAGAACACTTGATCTTTTTCTCTATGTAACCATTATTCGATTTTATTATAGATTTAATATTCGAACAGAATAATTTCAAGGGAGCTGCATTATTATGCAGCCTGGTACAGTTCTATGCTGATCTTTTGCTCTATACTACTATAGCTAACCGAATTCGCATTGCTTTCCATAAAATCCTTTAAAACACTGGCATCGATATCCATTTGCTGTAGGCTGACAAAGGCCACTGTAGCAAGGATTTGATTGACAGACACCTATCCCAAGGATATATTCGAAAAACAAGAGGCTAAAATTTGTATCGATTACTACACTAGCGATTATATTTGACAATTATATGAAAGACTGATGGATTAAATAATTGTAATAATAATAAAAACAGCAATCATTTCAAAATATTGTAATTTAGGTTACTTAATTGGCAATAGCGTCCAAAATAGCCATCTTCGCAGTGGCATTGAAAGCTGGTCTCTTTCATGATGCATACTCCATGATGGCATGGATTTGATAAGCAGTCGTCTACATTGACAATCGGCAGAACATTTAATATTGTAAGTTAGGAAAAATCATGAGGCGGAGCATTACTGTATGTTATCATAAAGTATTAGTAACTACCTTGGATTTTGCTGCAAGCATTCAAATAGCAAGCAGTCACTGGCTTGGCTCCGTACACTGTGTAACCTGCACACTTTTTGGCATGAATTATCGCTTTGCGGGCACAAGAATGAGAGTTTGCTTTAATACATACCGTAAAACTCTCAATTTGTTCATTACTCTGATTGTCTAAGAAAGATGATTATATCTAGTTAGTGAACTGAAATAGTGCTACTATTATGCTGTTCTTAATTTAGGGTAAGATCAATATTAAGATTTTACAGTTCCTATGCTGATTTGCGTTAGTAAACTTTTGCTAAAAGCAGAACGATTACTTGTATAGGCGTCAGCTCGCAATTAATTAGATATTAACTATTTTTACTTGGGGAAAAACAACCACTATATAGAATTAGGCCAAAAATTACGATTGTCCGCATTCCATTAGCCAGTGAAATAAATAGTACATGTATAATAAGAATACACTTCCGATTTTAAAATATGATCGGTAAGAACATTATTTCAAACTTCTATTTGCGGTTATAGAAACACTTCATTATTGCCTAACACGAAGCTTACAGAAAGCGCTTGAAAATTAATCGCGTAATCAGATTGTATATACGGTTGATTGAGAAATCCAAAGGTGATTGTTTCACACTTGGAAAATATTTTACCTGTTTGCTTAACACCTAGTCTTCTAGCTATGCTTGTGCAGGGTTTTGTTTGATCAGCACTGTACCAATGATAATAACTAATCCATGAATTATGCGATTGACATTCTTGATGGAGTTTTATAGCCTGATTATAGCTTAAAGACTGTGATGCGGTATTATTTAATTTTATGGCTCGAATTTCGCAAGGATCTAATCGTGTAAATGATTATCGATACTTGAGATTCGTTCATTGTAACAATAAAATATTTAAGTACTTGAAATTGTGAATTCCTTTGATTACTATAAAGCAATAGAATTTTATAATTATACCTCTACAGGTACGTCTGTCATCAGCGAGGATTTTATATTTCGGACACTCGCAATCGTAACTTCCATACAAGTTAACGCAGATATCGCTGCAGCCACCGTTGTTAATTGAGCATTCATCAAGATCTAGTTGATGTTATGCAAAGCGGCACTTAACACCGAAATCAATTACTAATTGCTTATTTAGAAAATTGCACTACCTTGATTACAATTTACTCCCGTTGTCCCTGGCATGCATTTACAAACGTACTTATTGATGTAACTAATGCAAGTTCCCTCGTAGCATGGATTAGATTGGCAGGCATTAATAACTGTTAGGCGAAAAGGAAATGCTCATATTGAGAACAAAGAAGATAATATTGCAAGCGTAAATCACTTGAGTTTATAATTAATCTTTCAGAAAATTAATTGGTACTGCACAATGATATATCGTGAAAAATTTAAAGATGGAAAATGATCGTTATAAATTTTACATACCAAGCTCACATTGCTTTCCTGTATAGCCAGCTTGACACAGGCAATGAAAATGTGTAGCATTAACTGTAAAACATTTACCATTATTCAAACATGTGTCAGCCTTGCATATGTCTAAAAAAATTCAAAATATTGTCAAATTAAGGTCTATATTAATCGATATAAATATATCAATATGTTAGAATCAGAATTTGCTCATCACCGTTCTGGTATTCAATTAGGAACTTACTGTTTTCTACGACGCAGTATCTACTAGGTGGATTACAATTCACCTCGGGAAGGTTGTACACTATGTAATTAGAACAATTTTTGACCCTAATATTGTTGGATTTATAACAGCAGTCATTTGCATAGCTAAAACAAGCCTTTCTGCTAACAATTCCTTCTTGTTCTAGATAACGATCATGATTACATAAAGAAAGAATATTTATTGCTGTGATAGAAGCTAGCAGTACATATTACTAAGCAATAACACTTTCAATTCTCTTTCAAAAGTACATCGTCAAAAAACATTTTAAGTTGTTTGCTCAACTTTAATACCATTGAAGTAAATTCTATAAGCTCATGGAAAAGTGATACATTACTTGAAGGATGTGATCCGTTCATCCAACCGGACAATGTAGTTTGGCAACGTCGCATAGGAGTACATTCTGTTGGAAGGACCATTGATGTCGAATTAATATTAAAGCGATACCAAGTGTTTTTGCTGAAGTGATTATCGCAGAGGAGAGGGAACTTTATTCGATCAGAAAGATGCCGTGATCGATCAAAGGACTGTAAGTAGTTGTTGCATGGATCTAGCGGTGGAATGGGTATAACATATTAACCAAGTTCTTACGTAACATCATTAGTAGCATCCTAAATATAATATTGTCTTATCAAAATCAACTAGATTTGGCTTAGACCATTTATATTGGCTAACCTATCGGAAATAATTGCTATCATCTAATGAAGCAGTTATGTGTTTTAATAACACTTGACTCCTTAGATACTTACCGTAGCAATTGTGGCCATTCTGTGCTAAGACTAGATCTGAAGGACATTTGCATGTATAACTGCCGAATGTATTATGACAGTCATTAGAACAGCCACCGTTATTATTCTTACATTCATCAGTATCTACGGGAAATAATAATATAGTATATAATTAGTAGCTTACTAAAGAATTTATTATAGCTCAGAAGTTGCATTAATTTGAAGTGTCGCATTAGGTCAATGTTATCGCACGCGTATACTCTAGGTAAGAGTTATTTAATATCTATATGTTATAAACGAATTTTTTTAAATTCTTTCAACCTTTTTCGCAGTTTATTCCTTTGAAACCTGGATTACATCGGCATTTATAACTGTTTTGATGTTGTACGCAAATACCGTTTTCGCATGGTTTACGATCGCATTCTTTCAGAGCTAAATGCATTGGTTGGAATATAACTTGGTTTAAATGCGTCTTAGGTAGGTTTATTAGCATTTTATATCATATATAGAAGATACACAAGCTATTTTAAATTCCTAGAATAATAACGAACGATACTTGGATTAAGCGTAGAGGTAAAAAATAGCCTATACTCTAGAGAGCTAATTAATTTAGCATCTCCATGTCAATAGTTATGTAAATTCACTGGTACGATACAAAAGAAAATCAAGGTAACTAGATTTAAAATATACTTTAGATGGGTTTATTAGCATTTTATACCACGTCCAGAAGATACACAGACTATTCTAAATCACTAGAGTAATAACGAAAATTACTAGGATTAACCATAAAGGTAAAAATTCCCTCAACTCTAGAATGTTAATTAATTTAGCACCCTATATCAATAGCTACGTAAAGGCATTATACCATATATAAGTGAAAATCAGGTCAATCTATATATACAAATATAGCGACCGTACGACTCGTAATGAAATCAGAGCTTTTGAATCAGGAATATGACCGTCTTTTATGTCAAGATGACGGTTCTCTACAATTTATTTTTACCAAGCCTACCTTGATGACAGTATAATCCAGTATACCCATGATTACATTGGCATCGAAATCCTGAAGGACTATCAGTGCATGTACCATTCAAACAAGGGTTAGAGCTACAAAAATCTGTAAGAAAAAGTATAAACCACCGTCGTAAAATCAAAGCTAACTGTATCTACGATAAATACACCAAATTCAATCTTACATCGAGCAAATGCTCGCTAAATATACTGCTATGCATAGCAAACTAAGATTTTAATTTCATCCTATACTAAGTATGTATTGTAAAACTGCTGTGTTTGCGTACGTATGCATATCACTAGCATCCTGGTATATCCTCATGTTGCTGGATGATTTTAGTAACAAATAGTGCTAAGGTACCAAAATTATAGCTGCTTGTAAGTTACTCAAATTTATTTTATACCAGATTGAATATAAAGTTGTAGCGCATTACTAATATATGCTACTAATCCATTAAAATGACTACTGTGAAACCTCTTAATTTATTAGTGAATCAATGCAAACTTTACCATATCTATCTGTGCAATAGCGTTGATAACATTCAGATACAGGTGGAAGATAATAAACAAAGTAGGAATGACAATTTTTGATCTTAATGTATTGCTTTTTTTGGCAGCGAAGAGTACCAGATGTAAAGCATACGGTACCATTGATGATGCCTTGCTTGACTGGAAATAAATTAGAAATTGATTTTATAGCTGAAATAAAGTCGTGTCAAATATATGTCGTTTCATAGATTACTTATGAATGAGATATGAGTTTTAATGCTGCCTTTCAGTTTTAGATGTTTACTATTATTCAAGCATAGCTTAAAGATAAAATATCCAGTAGTGGAATTCTTGATGACTATGATGATAGTTAGTTAATTTTAAAAGCAAAAAAATCTTAATTTGATATATTAGTAGCTTAGATAATGCTGCTTTTAAGTAGATGATATTTTAGCAGCGTTACCTGTAGGATGATTGCCCTTTAACCATCCAGGGAATATCGTCTCACATGAAGTAATTTTGACGTATCCTGTCGCCATCATCTGGCTATTGACTCCGCCATTAAATCGATACCAAGCCGTCTTCCAGCCTTCTTTATCGCATTTGAGGAAATTATTGCTCAATGTGTAAACTGATCGACTAGAATCATTAATCATAATTGCATTTTTGCATGGATCTGCAATTGGCGGAAAAAATAAAGAAATGCCAAATAGTTTTAACTTTGAGCTTTGATATTGAAAACATTAAATAAGGATATTTTTAACTTATGAGAAAGGCTTATATAGTAAGCAAATAATACCGTAACAAGAAATTTTGTCATTTGATAATTCCCTGCCATGATGACAACCGCAAGAATAGTTGCCATATGAGTTAATGCATAATTCTTTGCATTTTTTTATATTCTCAGTACACTCATCAATGTCTAAATGAAAGAATTTTTTTACTTAGGCAAACACGAATCGCTACATTTGTATGTTAATTATCATACGCGATATAAATATACCTAATTCACAATCTGTCCCCGTGTAGCCAGCATGGCATTGGCATAGATAAGAATAATTTATATTTTGACATCTTCCATGAATACAAGGATTACTTCGGCAAGAATTTAGATCTGTAAATGGAGCTCTTAGTTATTAAAGGCTTCATATTGTCTATGTAAGTTAAAAGTAATGGCTGTAGTATGATTACTGATGCTTTTCTGCTGAAAAATTTGATAACAAGTTATCTTGAGTTTACAACAGGTTTAAATTACAGTTAGTTCTTTACTGTAAAATTAAAGAAGGGATATAAGTACCTAATGTTTTCAAAATTAACTTGTTTCATATTCGAATTTTATGCGTATCTGATATTTTAGAATCAGTACCGTATGGTACTTTTAGGAATTTCCAAAAAAGGTATAAATATACATTACTGTACTGTATATTCATTCTTATGGTACTCAATATCAGTACTTGTTCTTATGTTTAATAATCGTTGATGTCTTGGTTGTAATATGATATTAAAATTTAATCATAATAATAAAAACTAGCCGAAACAATATTTACTTTCATTGAAAAAATAACTATTTAGCTAATATCTTAGAATGAGTACAGTATCTTTAGGAGTTTCCAAAAATGGTATAAATATATATTACTGTACTTATTACTCATTGTTCTCAGTATCAATACTTATTCTTATGCTTAATAATCTTTCATATCTAAGTTATGATATAATAAAATTTTAAACAACGCAACAAAAATAACCTAATTAATGCTTACTTTGATTAATAAAACCATTACTGTAATTACAAGTAGAATTGCCGGCTCTTAAAATATCATTGCTCAGTGGCACATTTCTATCCTTGACGGATTTTAGTATATGATCATACTATCGTAGTTTACAAGGATAAAGGCTATAGTTTAACTAAATGTCGTATATTGGACGTTAACACAATAGGTTACGATCCTACTACGAGTTTAGCATAAATGTTATTTGTTTTGCAATACCTGAAACTTTAGCAGTGAAAAAGTTACCACTTACATTGAGTATTTTTAAGTTTAATTACTGTTATGAATAAAACTGATCATCAATTTATTATCATGAGTGATGCTTTGGTGATTGAGTTATATGATACATGCTTACATACCATTTTCACAACTTCTTCCGTTATAATTTTCATGGCACGCGCAGGAAAAACTTTTACCTGCCCTCGTACAATTGCCATCATGAAGACATGGATTGGGATTACATTGATCTATATTTTAATGAAATAGTTTAGTTTGCCATTCTTTAAGTAGCATCTCAAATCAGCAAATCTAATTATTATACTTTTGATAGGTATTTTAAAAAATAAATTAATATTACAGACCAACTTGAGTGGAGCAATAACGACTACACATTTGATGTCGCGTTGTCGATGACAGTCGGTAGATCATAAAGTTACTACAATTTTTAACTTGAATTGATGACTTTTTATAGCAGCAATCACCAAGGAAATAAAAACAAACTTTTCTACTGACAATCTTATCGTCCACTGTAATAAGAAAAGAATGTTATACGTTTTATTAGATCTTAATTTAGTTGATCTATTCATCATACATATATACTAGTATAAATTTTTAGACAAGCTTGATGGATCTAATATATTCTACTTTGTCGAACCATGTTCTATTTTATTTTATGAATACTATCAAGGTTATCAACTATTTATTTCTAAATTTCTATAATCTTAATGCGACTCTTTGGTTAGCTCGAAATAAATTCTCTTATATTAATTAAACTAGATTTCTTATGATGCCAGTCTTTATCACTGGTATAAGTATTTTGTGAACTAGTGTACCCAATCGTCCAAGAGACTTTTCCATTAAAGCTTATCTTTAAACTGCAGTGAACTAAAAATTTTACAAATACAAGGGTATGTTGAGATTTAAATACCTGTAGGATGCTCTTCTAACATCCATCCTGGTGAATAGGTTCCGCATTTTGAATTCGCTTCAATACATTCCGTTTTTATGATATGATCAACTTCTCCATATTTAAATCGATACCATGTATTATTAAGATGATCATCACATAGGTAGTTTTGTTGGAGGCTATTGGTTGACAGGGTCGTATCTGATCTACTAATGTCACTTAGTGTATCGTAATAATCACATGGATCTATAAAATCGTTAAGATAAAATTATAAGCACTTTACCTATAAAATAAGAATAAAGTCCTACCAATAATAAAATTTAAAATACAGTAGTGGCGTCAATTTACATTAAATAACATAAATATTTGTTAAAATTAATGGCATTAATTTGAGATATGATAACTTACTAGAAAGATAATAGGTTAAACTAGATAATAAATTAGTAGTGGTAGTATTATTTTTACGATATACTGAGTAATTTGTATAGAGTATTAGAGTTAATTCATGGAAATGATCCTTATCGCATCTTGATGATAACTAGTCATAAGATTGCAAACCGAACCAAATTCTATGAGAAAATTAATTGGCGTCGTTAATTTAAACTAATGACTGGATTTAACTCAATTTGTAATATGGTAACTTACTAGAAAGATTATAAGTTGAACTGGATTGTAAATTAGTAGTAGAACTTCTATTTTAATGTTGAGTTATTGTAAAAACAATTTGAGGTTAATTCTTGGAAACTATCCATATCACTTCGCAATGATAACTAGTTGGAAAGATTGGTAATTGAATTCAATTCTACGAATAAATTAACTGGCTTCATTGTTTTAAAATAAAATTCGATTTTAAATATGATAACTTGCTAGAAATATTAATTATAGATTGAACTAGATTACGAATTACTAATATTTTATATTGAGCCAATTGTATAGAGGATTTAAGGTTAATTCACGGAAATTCCTTTTATCACTTCTCGATGATAACTAGTTGGAAAATTGTAAATTAAAATGAATTCTATAGGGAAATTAACTAGCACTGTCACTTTAAACTAAAAACTTGGCTTTACAGTACTAGATATTGGAGAGTAATATAATTTAAAGTTTATTGATCTTAATATTCAAGTCAGTGTAGGCCAATACTTTAAGTTTTTTCTATCCACTAAAAAAATCGAGCTATCTAACAATTACTAAGATAAAGGAATTCGAAAGTAATAAATTAAAACCAATTTAGTTCTTTATTTTCACAATGTTATTTTATCTTTTATCGTGACTTTAACATTTATTTGTATAATTGTAATCAAACTTCTTAATTAAGAAGATTACGTGCGTAATTATGTTAATATTAAAAGATAATAGCAATTGCTTTACCCATGGCAGTTGTACAATAACGCCTGCAAACAGGAATATTTGGCAATGGCGGCAATCGATATACCATGAAGGAACCGCAGTTTTTAACTTGAATTTGAGACTTTGATGCACAACAGTTCTCATCTCTATAGAAGCAGACTGTCCTGTTAACGATATCGTCGGCCACTATAGATGTAGTAAGCAATGACTTAGTTCAATTCTCCAATACTATCATAGCATTAATAATGTAATAAAAAGTAGATGTTGTGCAGAATTTAGAAATCTCATACTATGACAAATCTTGCTGGATTATTTCAATAATTCGTAATCATGTTCAATCAAATATTTCACGCTTGACGATTCAAGTTGGCCAGATCGAAATTGAATTGATCTACGAATTATCTGTATTTTAATTACCTGCTGGATGGGTGCCTTGCATCCAACCTGGAGATATAGTACCACATTTTCCATATGCTTTAGCACATTTATTTAGAATCAGTTCACTCTTATTTCCATCAGTAAATCGATACCATTGATGTATTAAGGATTTGTCGCATTTGAAAATTGTATCTACTTCTGAGCTAATGGATCTACCAGCATCATTTAATGGATGATAATCTTGACAGGGATCTATTTTAGAAAGATAAAGTCAATCGATGTTATAAAGATAAATTTAAATTGGATATTCACTTAATTTGTTATTCCTGTTTCTGTATTAATAGCCAAAATGAGATAAAACTTCCATATACAATACGAAGTCAAATTGACGATCAATAAGCGATTTATTCATAAGAAATGATCTTTCCTCGAATAACTGAAATTGATGAAATATTTTCAAAGATATAATTTGCCTTGTGTATGATATCAAAGGGAAACTACGTTATGGAAAGCAATTTTAGTACATCTACTCGTATATTTGATTTTAGTTAAATCATAACTATTGAATTTAAAATCATAGTATTTAAATGGGAACTATTCTAATGGCTGTAAATATGCTTTAGGGCGCATATGAAATAAAGCAACTTTTATAAAAAGTTTTACGATCGATTTCTTTTCTGATTGATGTACTATGTCAGACTACATATCTACTACATCTTTGGAGCATTCAATCTAATTTAGGTAGACAATTTACGACTTTTATCTAGTCATGATCATTGTCATTTATGATGGTAGTCAATGTCTTTAAATTACGTACGTGGAATAAATCTCAACTTTAAAATGTTTTTATCATCGATTGATATCATTATTAATTGATGTACTGTGTCAGACTACATATCGACTACGTCTTGATAGTGTTCAATCTGATTTAGGTAGATGACTTACTTCTATCCAATCAACATAGTCATTATTTGCATGACTAAACGTAGATATTATTTAAATAATAAAATTATGTACTGGTACTCGTGCTATAGTCAGCAGCTCATGAGGATGTTACGATATCATATAAATAATTCCAAAGCTAAAAGAATGAGCGAAATTCATATTCAAAGACATGATCTTCTTTAAAGAAAATTATTATTCTTTGCTTATTCTAATGTAGGGTAGCTTGATATATCTCGATAGCTTTTAAAATAAGACTAATTGCGATATTTCATAAAAGCACTGTAGAGTACACATTACTTACCGGATGCAAATAATGGTATAACCAAGACTGCAACCTAGCCAGAAGAAGTAAAACGTTATAAATTCATAAATAAATCTTACATACTGATAGAGTTTTATAAAAAGTAAAGTAACTTAGTATTGTAATTGTAGACTATTAGCCATGTTTAGTATGATGTACGGTAGTGTCTTTTCTATATTTATCTTATGATATATATTTAGTAGCCCATAATTATAGACTGTAAGGATAGACTCTATACTAAAATACAGATGACTATATACAGTAAGATGTTGAGCTACTAATAAGGTTAGAGGTAGAAATAGAATTGTAAATCATATATTAGGATATGTTTAGTTCATTGTACTTTGAGTAGTAGGAATAATGTCTACAAAATTACTGTATTCATTTTCATGTTGAATTAAAGATGGCTCGCTATAAAATATTGTGACTAATAATAATCTGAATACGTGTAAAATATGTTAGAATACTGCTATGCTCATTGTAGATGGGAAGGCTACGGAGAGTACGAAAGTTGGAGACATTAGATTATCTGATTGTTCTTTCTAGAAGTCTTTCAGTAGTTGTATTCGTCTAGAGTAGAGCTGTGTGTAGCTAGTCTTTGTATTAGATCTAATAAAGTTCTAATTTTCTACAACTTTGGAATTTTCATAATCGGATTTTATCACAATAAACGTAATAAAAGTAAAATTATAATTACGAACATTGTTTCATGGTTCAGTTAACTTTGTAATTATTAGGTTATTAGTTTCCAACATACCCAAAATATTCTGGCAACAAATAAGTTCTTAAACATTTTGTTAATTTGAATTGCTTGTTTTCATTTGTATGACTGATGAGTTGCTTAGATGATATTGAAATCTTTAAGGGTATATAAGGAATTTCATTATACACTATTAATTACCGGATTATGTAATTGCTATTTAGATAATCATGATAGAATCATGTGCAATTAAATTTATGCAATTAAATTCCAAGTAAAATATCACTTTTGAACTCTATGTTCTATCCCATAGTACTAAACGAAACTTAAAAATGTTCGGTAAATATTGCAGTTGAGATCTTATTGTATATATATTAGTTGGGCTGTTGAAAGAGTACTTTTTAATAACTAACGCACTTTGTAGTCCTCTACAAGTAGGATTACTATACCATTAAGGACAATTCATATTCTGTCACAAAATTCTTATCGGTAAATATCCTCCTTTTATCTCTTGCTTGTCGATGTTGTAAATATTTTAGAATGCAGGCTCAGATTCTTACTAATAAGGTAAATAAGAAATTTGCAATAACTTACTGTGTAGGGAAAAAGTATATTTAGCTTAATGATGTAAAAAGTATAGCAATCAGAATCATTATCATTACAACGAACTGTAACACAGTATTTCTGTCAGTAAAGAGGTAGGACATTAAACTAATTAGCATTTTATTTAAATATAGTTATTGACTAAGCCAATAGCATTTTTCACGTGTTTATTTACTTATGACTGTTCTTGTGATGCTAATATTGAAGACATCAAACCATTATTATTGAATAGTCTAGGGTATACTGTAAACTACTGTACCATAATATAGCTAGGCGGCGTTCATTAGCCTATGTAGAAAAACCGTACGTCTAAAAATCTAATAAGTGAATGATGAAATATCATGACTTTGTATTACATGCGGTCTATATTAGCGATATAGTATCGTGAAGAAGCGATTTGAGTCTTGATAAATTGTACTATCGGCAAAAATAGCTTGGATTTATCACTTATACTATGGCTTAGAGTAAAATTGAATGATTGCATACTTGAGAGTATACGTTATAATCTCAGGGGATTTTATTGATTGCTTTGGATACGGTAACGATTGCTGATCAGTTTTAACGACCAATGATCAAATAAATAAAGTTATGGTATTTTTCGGTTACCAAACGCATAGCAAGAATGCTCTTTCAATATTTGCATAGTACTCATTCAGTAACACTGTATAACAGACGACGTAAATTCAATAACTTTTAAGAGCTCTGCTAGTAATGTTCATTGTTAGTCCTATGTTTTTTGCTAATTTACGACATGAGAGGTTAATGTAGGAAGTGTGACTATGAATGCAAGGTGTTGGATGTCCTTAAAAGCTGTCGTACATGCACTGATCCTATGATAATTTTTCTAAGTAGTAAATTTCTAGACTATACAAAAATACATCGATATAAGAGTGAGCAAATTCTTTATATTTCATGATCTTTTATTGAGTGTTCAAAGGTGTACATACGAATATGAACATATCATATCACAAACTCTGAACAATAACACAAAAATATATTTCCATAAACACTTCGCCTAACTTATTTACAACATAAAGATTGCTAGTAAGATCACTAAATCCTTACATAACTGAGTATGAGAACGAAATACCAAGATTAGTGTTCCACTCTACGAAGCTGAAATTAAAATATTTAAATTACCATAAACATTACTCTTATATAGCTACTATCAACAACTCAAGATTTGGTAATATTTTTAAGTTATATCTAATTTTACTTTTATATAACATGTTGATAATAATAACTTATCCTACAACTTCGCTGCATTCTTATAGAATAAACTTGTTATAACTGCTCTATCATTTTGTGTATTTCGTATTATCCAGCATTCTATTATTGTTTTGCCTTATTTTGGTAAAATACCGTATATGGACTATTAATTCAATACCTATTGGAATATTACTACTCTGTTGTATTGTGTTAATGCTAGTTTTATATAAGTGCACTAGAATGGATTGGCGGCACGTAAGAATATAGCTTTAATCTCCATATTTACGAATTTGGTAGAACATTTAAGTTAAAGAAAATCTATTAAACGTTTAATTACATAGCTAATAAACTAAAATCGATATTGGTTACAATATTTAAGGAAAGAAACAGGGCATTTATGGCGATTGTTCTATTGAAATTTATTAGCATCCTTTTCATATTAGGCTTAAAAAAATTATGTATACAATTATAATGATATTCTAAAGGATTAATTAATACTTCACAAATTATTACAAGATTTCATCTTATTTCTATTACTCAAAATTGTTTTATGATGTAATTTATCGAGATGTGAATATTGCAAAAGATTTGATAATGATTATATCCTAGATCAACTACACTTAAATTTCGGGTTTCCTTCAAGAGTTGGATCAAAAATGAAATTGCTACGGGCAAATCTTGATTGGTTTCTTGATGCATGGTATGTCTAAAATTGTTATATGTATAGAAATGATATAAGGCATGATGATGAATATTTTGCTCTATCTTAATAGAGAAATTATTATGTATCAGCTTTTTACAGCAGCTTTATAAACTTCCAATATAAATAGCTCAATTTTATACCTCTGACAGATGAGTAAAATAATTTATATACTTATGTTGCTTTTGGTATAATTCAAGTAATACTCTATCACATAATTTAGTATAGTAAAGCGGGCACCTAGACAAGGCCTAAGCGGATTATTATTCATCAATAACTTCGGTAGAGGGTAACTATAATAGTAACCTGTTACTCATGTATTGCATTTTTATAAGGTGATGAGGATAGATTAAATGAGTGACTTATCAGGTATCTTATAATCCACTGCGCGATACTGGTAGAACATTTTGCATTAACAAACATTAATACTAGCTAAATCTACTAAGCCTCGCATACTACTGGTTTAGCAATTTCTTACTTCTGTTAGATCATAAAAATATCAGCAAAGTATCAATACTTTAATAAACTATAAGATGAAATTGATCTGGTAACTTACCACTTATTAATTCTTCACATTTAAGTCCATAGAATCCGCGATTACATTGGCATCGAAATTTGTTACCGAAAGCAATACATTTTCCATGACGGCAAGGATTAGGCTTACAATAATCTTAGTATAAGACGATGATAAATCAGATTTATGAGTTCATAGGATTGAAATTTGTAGTGTACGGGTTCTTAGCCCTAGTTCTACAGTACATGCTATCATTGTATTACCTACACAAAAACTGCTGTAATTAGCTGAAATCACTACAAAATTATTTAATCTTTCACTGTTGAATCTAACATTAATTCAAAAGATTTCACCTTCAGTGTGAATTTAAAATTTTGATTTATTATACCTTTATCGCAAATACGACCATATAATCCAGCCTTACACTGACAAATATAGCTAGTCCTGCTGGCAATACATCTGCCACCATTTTTGCATGGATTAGGATTACAAAAACCTGTGGTTGAATGATTCCAATCACGATGCATAAAATTAGCAGAGCATTGAGTAACTACGGTATTAAAACATGTATCTATTCAATGCGTAGAGTATGCTTAATAACGATCAGTGAAGAATGGAGCACTTTTAAACGGCTCTGGAAAATTACTAAAGATTACTTAGTCTTCAAGCTAAACTATTTCGCAATAAATTGCATAAATTATAGTAACAATTTGCTCTAAAGAGAAAGTTAGTCCTAGTTTATACGCAAAAGATAAGTAAAAATTATTTGAATATTCACTTTGCCTAATGACTAGCTGATATATAGTCAGCCTACTCGCTATCTAGCCAATTCCAAATTACATCAAAATTTCCATCGCAGCCGTCATGAAATTAGGGTGATATGGCACTGGTGTAGATCTGTCTAGAGGAATCTTAAAAAACTTACTATTTTGGCAAGTTTTTCCGTAGTAACCAAAGTTACAAACACAGACAAAACTCTTGTAATCTTTATTCACTCGACATATTCCATGTTTACAAGGGTTAGGCAAACAAGGTGCTGGTGGAAGTAATTATATTTAGATGTGAGCAATTAACAAAGACACTTATTGCAACAGATAGAATTCTTTCCAATTATCTTGAAAACATGAGAAAGCTTTAGAGTAATGTTTATAAATATTTATCTGGAAAGAAATATCTTTTACTTACCATTTTCGCAATTCTTTCCATAATATCCTGCACGACAAAGGCACCGATAACCGTTGTTAAGGTAGGCACATCCGCCACCATTTCTACAGGGATTTGGTTCGCAGTAATCTGAAAATAGTTGAAATAAATTAAGTTACTACTTTAGCAATGGCGAAAAGAAGCTAAACCAATCAGTCACGTAAACTAGATCATAAACTAACGAAATTGACACCGATTTCCATAGAATCCTTTCTGACAGAAACATTGGAAACCATTGGCGTTCGATGTACACAGTCCAGCATTACATGGATTAGGCTTGCAATAGTCTAAGTAATTATTATAAGCTCAGAATCGCTGCAACTATGAAGACCACATTACGAGTATTGAAAGTCGAAAGTACAAAGTAATTTAGATGTGTTAATATAGTCCCAAAAGATAGTTATTTCAGCTACACAGCAATCACGGTTTCAAACATGAGCATATAACGATGTCAATATTGAATGCTAAAACTCACTAAGGATGAAAATTCTACTCGTAATTTTTATAAAGCACAACTCTATTCGAGCTTGAATTTATTGCGCAGAGATTTTTTATGCAGCTAACGGGATTGTTCTAGTTATCAGCTAAAATAATATTCAAGACATTTAGTCTAAATATACTACTTAGTATTTGCAATGGAATTTCTTTAAATGTATTAATTTTACTTACTATTTTGGCAATTTTTTCCTTGATATCCCGGACGGCAAAGACATTGATAGCCGTTACTATGTGCTTGGCATATACCACCATTTTGACAGTTATTGGGCTTACAATAATCTGTTACAATCAAATGTGAAACAGGAAATGAAATAAAGATGTGTTATGTAAAAAATATTACTAACAGTTCGATGGGATTAGAACTATCAAAACTAACGATTTTGACATTTATTTCCATAGTATCCAGTTTGGCAATGACATTGATAGCCATTAATCTTGGCTACACATGTTCCTTTTTGACATGGGTTAGGATTGCAGTAATCTATTGGCATAAATGTTTATTATCATTACTCAATAATAAGTTATTTCTCATATACGAGCACTTTAATATTTTGATGAAATAGATTTTTATGTAATGATATAAATGCTAAACAGCGGCATGATTAATTTAACAAAAGTAATTACAACAAAAATATAAGAGAAGTTCAAATTATCATATAGGTTTGCTCACAGGTATACAAAACCTGAACGATACTGTAAAAATAGATGTAAAAAAGTAATCATAAAAAATTAGGTAATGTTCAAATTATTATTCCCTTTTCAAGGTTAATTTAAGTCATCGATATTGACGCTAAAAGTCGAAATGCAAATTATCCATTATTTAATTTCAAGCTACTAGCAACACTATCTTTATTATATTCCATAAATGTTGAAAAAGTCTTTCACTTAGTATTCTAAGAGTGTTCTGACTTGATAAAATAATCGGAAATAACTTACTTTTCTCACAATTTGTTCCGTAGAATCCATTATTACATTTACATTTGTAGCTATTTTGCTGACGCAGACATTGACCATTACGGCAAGGAATAGGATTGCAATAATCTTGGGAAAAAATAATTTAAAATCTTCAATATATTGCTTTAAGGTGTTCATTTGTTATGAAGTAAAGCGATGGGCTTACCGGACTGACATCTAGCTCCATAGTAGCCAGCTTTACATCGACATTCATAACGATTTTGTTTAGAAACACACGTAGCGTCATTCTGGCAAGGACTAGAATTGCAATAGTCTAACAGTGGTATAGAGAAATGGATGATTTCGATTATATGATATCGAACAAAATATATGAACATGATCTTCAAATCAGACTCTAAATTTTGCGTAAATACATAGGTGTATAAAAATTTTTCAATATGTTGGATGACTCTTTAATACTGTATGTAAACAATTAGAATATATTAACATACATTAAATTTAGTAAGTCTTAAGAGATATGAGAAGGATATGTGCAATAAAAATATCTCACGAATAACTGTCTTAGACCAATGAAATTTTCTAAGAGACTTTTATTATAAGGTTTTAAGAATAGTAGAGTAATAATTGATTACTACAAGAATCTAGTCTAATATTTAAAGTATTTCGAGCTCAAAGTAAAGTGAAGTTTCTCTCTCCTTTAAGCTCATCTCTGTAGTTCTTAAATACTTTCGTTGAATCCATTCACGACAACATAATTAACTACAATCAGGCTGGAGACATCAAGCAGAATACTTTTCCTCAAATAAAACATTTTTATCTTCTACAATCCGAATCGTTCTACTTAAGATATTACTACTCTGCTATTAATGTCCAGCACCCTTTGGTGTTAAGTATCTTCACAATTACAGTATATTATGCCATATAAATCTTGTAACATAATTAGTCATCAATAATTTCTAATATATTAGTTAGCAATCATTTAATATTAGTATCACGATAATACCTATTCTTAGTATCCTAACTATGTCAAATATAGCTATCATTATAATCAAATATGAGGTATATCACTACAACATGTAATTATTTAACATGCTTTGGGAATATTGTTTTCGATTAAAATTTCAATTCCAATACTAATACACTATTAGTTTGTGAGAAAATTTAGATTCTTACTGATCTGACATTGAGCACCAAAGTAATCTGTAAAGCAATGACACTGGTAGCCTTCACTGGTTAGCTGACAATTTCCATTTCTGCATGGATTTGGATTGCAGTAATCTGTAGAATGAATAATTTATTTTGAGCGTTATCGCAAATAAACATATCCACATGATCTGGTATTCGTAACATACTCGATTTACAACGAGTTCCGTAGTATCCATAATTGCAATTGCATTGGTAGCCATATCGTTGAGTTATACATCGGCCATTTGTGCAAGGATTAGGATTACAGTAATCTACAAGCATGTTTTTTATGACACTAATTAGATATCGTATTAACAACCTCTTATCAGTTAATTTCTCAACCTAAAGCTCTGAAAATAATAGTACATTTAAGTTAGAAATTTTAATTTACTCGTATTTTCTGAATTTGTCGAAAATATCGCTATCCTATCTTTTAGTTTATGAACTATTACTCATGATATTCTAGTGTACAAGGTGTCTGTATGTATCTGAAATAAAGGACATTTACATATATCAAACTAATATCATATGTTGTATTAAGCCTAATTTTATAACTAAAAAGACTTAATTGAACAATGAATTGTATACCTAATGTGAAGTATGATTCTGGTTTATTCATAAATAACGGTAAATAAGTAACGTTTAGTATCTTTAATACTACGGTATGGTACAGGTTATTGTGCTTGATAGTCTGTAACTACCTACAGTCCCTATGCTATTACTTGCAATCATTTGCTATACCTAGATTATTATAACGTATGTTACAATTAGTTTTACATTCTGATTTTTCGCTTTTGTTCTATCTCATAGGCATTGACATGGCGAAATTATACTTTAAATATCAGCCATCGTTACAGATATTGCAATTGTTATAGCTGCCACCTTACTCACAATAACTTGTTACAACTAGCTTGCTGATCTACTTTAAAAATTAAAATCTGTGTTAGATATTATTCAGATTATCATACAATATTGACATCTTGATCCATAGTAGCCGACAGTGCATTGACATCGGTATCCATTTGCATTTACAATGCAATTCCCGTAAATGCATGGTCGAGAATCGCAATAATCTATTACATACGATAAGCAATTTTGAAATAAGCTACAATACTTTAACTTGCTATAAACAGATGTAAGCAAGTCTATCAGACTAAACGGAAACTTACTGCTTTGACAATTCTTTCCATAATATCCTATATTACATTTACATTTATACCCACTACTTTGTAAAATACATTGACCATCTTGGCAAGGATTGGGGTTGCAGTAACCTGTTTGAGAAAATAACGAAATTTGGCTACAATATTAAACTTTACTGGTGTAATAGAAGTATTCGATTTAATTTTTTGATTGTATCCACTAACTGAATTGGCAATGAATTCCATGGTAGCCAGCTCTACAACGGCATTGATAGCCATTTACGATAGCTACACACTGTCCATTTTGACATGGATTTGGACTACAATATTCTATGAGACAGTTAAATTATATCAAGCCTAAATATAAAGTCATAAATGTTGCTATTTATCATGAGTAATAGGCTAATTTATCGTATGTATATTTAATAACAGTTTGTAAAACTGTACAATTTAAATGTGTCAAAAAATTTAATATAAGTTTGATAAGTAAATGCTATAAGTTAGTAGCGAAATTATTTAAATTTCTGATTGTACCATAGTAGGAATAAGCTGACTAGTGCAATAATCGTGAATTTGCTCAGAATACAATATATATAAAATTTACTTAAATGGCAGTTTTTCCCATAATATCCTGATTTGCATTGGCAAGTATAGCTGGTTGGATTAGAAATACATTGACCATGTTGGCATGGATTGGGCAGGCAATGATCTGTATGGAAGAGTAAGATGATATCATTTAATTGATGGGAAGAAATTTACGGTAGAGTAGGTGACTGTTATTGCGCTTAGTTTATAGTCACAAATAGCAATTAATCTATCATTTTAAAGTGATTTGATACGGTATAATAGTAATTTAATGCTGATTTGAAAAAATAGTATTTACATTTGAAAGTTTATAACGCCTCAAGAAATCTTAAATGTCTAATAGTATGAACGATGGAATTTGCTCTAAAATTTACGTCGATTATAATTATATAAGAACAACGATGCTGAAACATGAAGCAGCACTGTCTGACAAGATTTAGAGTTATTAAAATTATTATAATTGACACCAGTGTTGTAAATCGCATTTTATTGATTACATCATAAAAATTTTATATAGATGCTTTCAAGCTAACATCCAAGTTCATACAGTCTATAAAGTGTCTAATTTCTAGTAAAAAGTCTTACTAATGTCGCAATTTATGCCATAATAACCACTTTTACATGTGCATTTATGTCCGCTGGTAGTTCGTCGACATTGGCCGTACTGGCATGGATTAGGATTACAGTAATCTAAAAAGTGTTTACAAAAGAAAACAACATGAAAATTTGTTCTGTGAAGTTATAATTGATTTAACAAATACTGATAATGATTAATCTATAACGCAAAATTAACAAAATCTAAGTAGAGATTTATAACATTAGCGAGAAAAACAGAGGTGAACCACAGACCTAGATGATATTTTAGATACGCAAGAGCGCAGAATTACAATTAAAACTTTGTTAAAACAGCGATTTATTATGGATAGTCTTTATCATTATTACCTTTCTCACATTTGGCACCATAATAACCAGACTGACACTGACATTGATATCCATGGGCATTTACGATGCATTTGCCGTTAATGCATGGATTAGAAGCACAAATTTCTATAATATGTGGGTCCTTCAGAAATTTACATTTACCAGATAATTTGATAAGTAATCACATCTTACGCGATTGGCAATTGGTACCATAATAACCAAGCTTGCATCTACAGATATAGCTTGATGCTATTGAAATACAGCTACCATGATGGCACGGATTAGAATCACAATAGTCTATCACCGGTAATGATCAAAACGGAAAAGCAAAATAAGTCAGATAAGGCGATACTATAAACAACAGAAAAGTAACTACAAGTCCAGTATTTATTAAAAGTGAGGAATTTGTTACTTAAATAAGTCATGAAATATAATAATAGGGACGAAAATTTTATCCAAATGTCATTGTATTTGAATACTCGTATAAGCCTAACTTATGATTATCCGATGAAGCATTAACTGACAAGACTTACTTGATTCGCAATTTATTCCATAATATCCATTGGCACATCGGCAGAGATATCCTCTTGCCTTTAAGCTACAAGTACCATACTGACAAGGATTGGGATGGCAATAATCTAATTATAAATTTACCATGATAAGGTATAATAATTGATTAGGAAATAAGAATTTCAAAATTTCTTTAAGTACATATGATATTGCATGAATGCTAACGGCTGCAAAGTTGTGGAAAAGTTAGAATATATAATCTAATCACCGTAAAAATATTTTGACGTGATTATAGAATAAGTCAACAAACTTATGAAGCTGTTAATTAATGCTTTGAACTCAACTCAGCTGACAATGAACTCCATGATATCCAGTATTACAGTGGCATTGATAGCCATTCGCGGAAACAGTGCAAACTCCATATTGGCATGGGTTTGGATGACAATAATCTAAGAACAATAATTAAAGGTGATTGATGACTTGCTACTTAGAGCGTATAATAGAATTTAAAATCACTCAATTCTGAGCCATCACTTAATGTTAACTGAGAATAAGGTTAAGACCATCATGGAATAGCAGATAAATATTCAATCAAGAAAGTGAGGCAAGATTCTTATAAACTACCAGCTATATTATTCGTATGTTTTTAAGTTTTAATTTCAAAGATCTTTGTTACCGAGACTGCTGTCATTAACATAACTTTTATTGGTCTTTATATACAAAGAGAGATTAATCATGGACTCTTGTTATAGCCTAAAGGGTATCTTAGACAGGTGAATACGGCATTAAAATATATTTAAAATTAATGAAAGTGAAAATAATATAGAAATGAGTCATTTTAGCATGTGTCTCCTCGAGATTACGATTATATTGTAGTTGATGATGTTACAAATTATTCAGAAATTTATGGTAATGTGTCTGTAGTCACGATTTATTAATTATACGATATGTAGTATTTCTTAGTG